TTTTGCATCTTCAATAATAACATTTTGGCTAAAAGCGTCAGGGATTGTTTTATGAGTACTACTTATATTGTTATCAGCGTCCGTATTCGACTCCTGAACAGGATTCATCATATTTTCTAGCTCCTTCGGCATCGCGCTTGTACCTTTAGTGTTGATAGATACTAATGTTTGCAAATTGCTATTATTGATGAAGTTTGCGAGTTCGTTGCTGTTGGCACTTGGAGCTGAGGGTTCCTGTTCTTCAACTGGGCTGACATTAATAGGCACGATTTCGTAATTTCTTTTTGGATGAGTAATCACAGTAGTTTCTTCTTTATTTTTTTCGACTGATGAACTAGAAGCTTGCTGCATTTCTTTACCAAGGTTCTCTTCCCTACCTAGTTTGGGTAAGATGTTTTGGGTCATAGCAGTTACAATACTTGTGTCCTTTTTAGGATTATCTTTTATTATTATGCTACTTTTTCTTTCACTTGTTGAACAGTTTTGGTCTTGACTTTGCCTTTCCTCTCTATGAATGGATTTTGCACTGTCTTTACCAACAATTCTTCGTAAAGTTTTAATTATACTATAACTTTCGCTTTTTGCAGCTAATTTATCAGCTAAAGAGGGATATTTGTTTGTATTACTTGAAATTGATGTATTCTCACTGCTAGGAGAAAGTATATTTTGCATAGCATTTTTTATATCTGTAATAACTGTTTTTGGATGTGGTTCTGTTTTCATTTCCGTGGGCTTATCAGTTACTGACACAGATGTGGTCCCGGTATCTTTTTCCTTATATACCTTTTTAGTATTACCTTGAACCGGATTGCCAGAAGTATTAGCTTGCATGATTATTGTAGAATTACGATTTCGATTTCCTGAAGCCATTGAAACTTTTCTATTAAGTTCTGTAGAATCAGGATCGATTAATTTGGTTTGTGTGTTATCATCACTGGTTTTATTTATTGAAGGTTTATCTTTTTGTATCACTATTTCTGTAGGTTTATCTATTATTGATACAGTTGTGGCCCCGGAATCTTTTTCTATGTGAGTGTTTTTGGTATTATCTTTAAGCGGATTGCCAGAAGTTTTAGCTTGCATAATTATAGTGGAATTACGATTTCGCTTATCTGAAACTATTGCCGTATTTCCATTAAATTCTATACAATCAGGATCCTTCAATTTTGTTTGTGTGTTATCATCAATCGTTTTGTGAACTTTGTCTACCTTGTCTTTTAGGTCTATTGGAAAATTAACACTAAGCTCTTCTTGTGTGTTAATATTCAAAGTATCAAAGGATTCTATAAAAACATTTTTTATTAACTGAGTTTTAGGATTATCTGATGGTTTAAAAGAAGGATCATTTAAAGGTTTCGGTGGACTGTCACTAATGGACATTATGTCTTCTGTAACGTCTTCATCATCCCACAGCATAGAAAAATTTCGTCTTACGTCGTCTAAAGTGTCAATATCTGGATCGGAAATTTTTATTAAATTAGCCATATTTTCTGCAAACATTTTTGCCTGTGCTTCTAACACACTATCATTTTTTATTATTATCGGAAAGACATCAGGATTGTGTGGACCTTTCGAAAGTTTGAAACTTCTCCTTTTTTCCTTTTCGTCATCTTTTTTAACTGGTATGTGGTTTGCTTCCTTTTTGTTACTACCGTTCTCCTCGTCATCATCATCATCATCATCGTTCTCTGTTAAAAAATGAGCATCAAAGTTAGGCAGTGGTTTGTTAGCTGACTTTGTCATCTCAACTATTTCAGTTTGTAACTTTTTAATTAGGCCTTCTAGTTCGGTTATCTCTCTATCAATATCATGAGAGCTGTTAGTAGACATCTCGTGTCTATGGGTTGTTGGATGGATTGTAAGCCTTCTACTATCAACGAAATCATCGTCCGAAGGTCTTGGGACTTCTAAATTGAGCCTATCTATAAGAGAATCAACATGAGAACCACGTGGGCTGTTGTCTGAGTTCTTATCGTCAGCCATTATTCTAAATATCTTTTCATTCTTGCCTTGCACTCTGCGATTTTCGCTCTTCTATCTTGTTCTTCGCAGGGATCTAGTTTTGGAGGGGGAGGTGGTGGTGGGGGTGGTTCGCAATTAGGTTTAGATTTATCAGGATGGTTATTTTCTAAATCACGTATTTTATCACAGCGATCCTGTCCTGGCAGCTGTGGTTTTACCATACACGTGAAACGTAATGCATCTAAAATTGCTTGTTCGTCTCTAAATGCGCTCGGATCTATAGGTGGGTTTTTGATTTTTTCTAAACATAAACAAGGCGGTTCTTTAGAACGTCCTTCGCAAATACTTTTCTCCGGTTCAGGCGGTGGTGGACAAATGGGTTTTTTTACACATTTTTTCTTTTTCTTCTTCGCAAGTTCTCTTTTCTTCTTTTCGAGTTCACATGCGTCTAAGGGTTCCTCATCTGTTGTGAATAAAATGTTTAAATTACATGCTTGATAAAAACCATCTCTCTGGTTCGTGGCCGCAAGAATGAAGTTGTTGTTTTGTAGTTTATTTGTAAGTAGCAGCGTAGTTTTGGTAAAATACAATCTCAAAACGTGTCCTGTTGTAGGCTTAATAAATTAGTTATTTGTTTAACATTTGTTGTTAAGAGTCATTATAAAGAGCATAGTACGAGGTACGGATAAGGAAAACTAACCAAGTAACAAAAGAGTAACATCGAGCCTACAAAAATATAGAATATTTACCTTTCTCAACTTTATCTGGTATACATTTCTTATAGAACATTATTTACTGGGGAATTTAATAAAATTTTTCTAAATCCATTTTTAGGATTCCGTCACCGTGACTTACAGTCGGGTCATATGTGTCAAAACAACAGGAGATTCTATGAAGTCGACTGCCAGTTATATTTAAATGAAAGAGGCTTTCTTGGCGTATAAGGGCTCGTATACAAAACTGCGATGCTATGAGATGCGAATTCGCAACGTAAAAAATTACGATGCGAATTGCTGCGATGCGATTTCGTGCGACAAGGCGTCTCCGACACCATTCCTTCGACGACCGTTAACTGCACTAAACGTATTTTAAATTGACAACTAGGTCGTGACTTGGGTCGTAAAAAAGGTGTACTTCTGTTGTTGTATTACTTAGGAGATACAGGAAAATAAACAATGAAGATTTTGGGAAGATAAATAAAATATTGATGCGAGATATTCTTGTGATGCATAAAGGGAGCTCGCACATTTCTGCGATGCGTCGTCGCATCGCTGTTTTGTGTACCAGCCCTAAAAGCAGGTAGAAGTGTCAAGAATGTGTAGAAAAAGGGACTTTTGAACATCTTTGGACCACTACAAAGTGCTGATCGCTATTCAATTTATTTTTATTAAGAACTAGCTTCTGCTCTCGGCTTCGTCTGCATTTCCGAGGAATAAAAACTACCCTATGTGTTATTACAGACTCCAGACCATAATCTATCGCTGTTCCAAAGCGTACGGCGCCATCAAAGCGCAATCAGGCTACCACAGATGGGGCCCAATTAGGGCTGATGCCGATACGGAGCCGCGGAGGACTTAACGGGTTTCCAGGGCTCCGGCTCGAAGAGCAGGAGTAGGACCGGGATGGTTTTTAGTCAGTAAGAGTCTGACACTCCCTTCCGCCTCACCCAGGTGGAAGAAGTAATTCGATTTGATATCCCACCCTTAAAAAAATCTATTCTGTTCCAAATTTCATCTCGAGTCCTTCAGCCTTTTTGACATGATTAAGTAATAAACGTACAGACAAATTCACGAACTTAGAAAGTTTCACATTTTTTTTTTTATATAAATTTATATATTTATTTATTTTGCGCGTAGAGACCCCAACAATCTGGAGAAGCTTGTGGTTGTTAGTCAGGTTAACGGGAAAAGACCTCGTGGTCGCTCACCTACCCGGTGGTTGGATGCGGTTAAAAACTTCACAAGTCATAAAGACCGCAGAGGACCGCCGCTTGGAGGAGGGTTGTGCATCAAGTGACGCGTGCATCAGCTAGACACGACCTTCAGTAATGAAGAAAACGACTAGGAAGAAGAAGATATTTATTTATTTATTAAAAACCTTACCTAAAACTATCATTACAGTTTTCTACATTGCGATAAGAATTTAATAATTATAATATTAGTAAGATACGTATAACAGAAAACTATTGTTTTCAAGAATGAAGGACGGACCAGAGATAGAAGAATCGACTTTTTACAATTATTACGATGTTCCCCTACAATTAAAAAAATCAGAAGCTTTTTGGTAAAACCAATTTTTTTTTTGGGATAAGTTATATCCTGATAATAATCATGTGGATCACTGCCTGATGGTAAGCAACCGGCGCCGCCCGTGGACACCCGAGACACCAGAGACGTGAAGCAATAAACCATATCAGTGCAATAAACACAAAAGTTGTTTTTGATTTTGATGTGTAAACTACTGAGTCAAATCGTCAAATCCAATATAATTTGATACAGAGATAAGACCCTGAACATGATCTTATTTATTTGTCAGGGAGAACGTTTTTACTTTCTTGTAAGTAGCCTAACCAAACAAGCACCTACTTTTCTTAAAATAAACTACTGGGTAAAACGGGGTGAATAGAATTCAGAAGAGGGGTGAATAAAATTAAATGTTGGGAAAATATTCTAACATTTATTCACCCCATGCCTGTATCAATTCACCCCGCGAATTCTATTCACCCCGTTTTAAGGTATTGCTTGTTATCATTTACACGTACGAAGCGCTTCGCATCAAGATTCCTTTGGGCGTATGAGTGGAATTCTCCGCCAGAGAGTCTGCTTCCTAAAGGGTAACCTGGGTATCTTCAAGGCCCGAGTGAATTTACTTATAGACAGACGTGATCCATCGTAGGCCGCGGCCGCATCATCGGTTACCACCAGGCAAGATACGTGGCCAAACGTCGCGCCATTTAATGTAAAAAATAAACAAAATTAAGTCTAAGATGTCTATCGTCTCAAATGACTAAAGATGAGAAAAAGGCCATTTATGTGACACTCATTGCGTTTATTGTAATTAATTATTATATGTTGAAGTCCAAGTTAGAAGAGATTGGTCTTCTAGGCCATTCGGGGTTTTTGATTCTGTGGTAGCTCAGGCTTGGGACATGGTAGCCCTTTTTCTTATTCTTCTTATTGAATGGTGGAATGGCATCATAATGTGTTTGTAGACCAGGTTGGGCGCAAAAACTGGCATTCGTGTAGGAGCCTCCTGCGGCAATTGCTGGAGAGAAACGGTAAAGACATTATTGTTACGACTTATTTTAGGAAAATGACAAACTGACTGTTTTTACTCTATTTTTGAGTCTTGATTTAGCAATTTTAATGTAGTAAGGAGACCAGAAAATTACTGTGCAATAACATTGAGGATTTATATAGCAATATTATAAATAACGTACAAGACTCTAATGCTGGGTTCTTCAATCTCTCGTAACATAAAAATGGCCGTAGGTACGATCCTTTACAAGAACCGCAGCTAGGAAGCGCTTCAGATTCAGATTGATTCTTCAAGTTGCAGTACTTCACTTTTATAATATCTCCCATCTTGAATTCTGTATCTATATACAAGATAAAGCCTTTTTAGAAAAGATCTAATAGTTTACAAGTAAATATAAGGTTTCTATAAATGATATTGATTACATGAAGTAGCACTTAAGTGATAAATATCGTAAAGTTGAAGATCTTTTTAGCGGGCAAATCATTTTGGCAATAGTTGAAATGACTCCTCTTGCTGTTGAAATGATCTACAGATGATGCAGTACCATCTTAAGAAGATATGGGAAGGTGTGAAAGGTCTGTGTTTTAGTGAATAAATTAAATGATGGAAAATTGGGTTACCTTCTTTGTTTAAAATCGTAATTAGACCTTTTTCAATAGCTAAAGTAGACGTTCTAGGAAAATTTTCTTCTCAATGACCGTTTTTGTTGTGGTTGGTATTGTATGTTTTCTGTATTTTGGACATTGCAGCAAGGATTCTCAGCAGTGCACTGGCATGATGGAGGGGGTGTCGTTTTGGGGAGCTGGTGTTTCTCTTCAGTAATTAAGTCATCGGAGTACGGCATCACGCAAGGGAGACATTTACTCTTCCTTTTCTTGCAGTTCTTTGTGCATGGCTCATCTTCAGACATTTTTTAATAAATTTTTGAAACCATTTTTGTTGAAATATTTTTAAATTTGAATGGTTGAGGCCGGTTTTGAACAGTTTTGAATGTCACCTGATCAGTTTTTTTAGTTGTGTTTTGGTTCGGCTGGCTGACGGACTGAGATTTTAGGCCAGTATTTTTGTTTTATTTTATTCTTTTTCAACTACTGGTAATATTGACAGCATACGCCCTTTTGATGTGTATATGGAGGTTTTAATTATTTTTATTTTCTTCTTTCTAGTTTGGTAGAAGCAGAAGTAGTTTTGGTTTGGGATTTGGTGTACGTTTTTAATGCAGAATAATGCATTAACAGTCTTTTTACCAGCATATTTGATAAGCTTAGGTTAAAATCAAATAAAAAAAAATTAACAAGGCATGTAAATGTAGCGAGGATGCAATGGCAGCGGCCGCCGAGTGCTACATCATCCTGTTTTTTTTAAGGGGGTGAAATCATCGAATCACTGCTCCCGCCTGGGTGAGGCGGGAGGTAGTGTCAGACTCTTACTGACTAAAAACCACCCCGTTCCTTTTCCTGCACGTCGAGGCGGAGCCCCGGTAACCCCGGTAACATCATCCTCTATGTTAAAAGACGCCTTGGTGCATTAATTCTCAGGTGAACAAAGGTCGTCACTCGAGGTGAAACATTTGACCTGGTTGATGTCAATCAACCCGGTGTTCCCGTTAAGTATAGGTAGCCTGACGGCTACATCATGGGTATTAAATTTTGACAGTCACAGTCATTGATTAAACATAAATTGTCGCCCTTTTTTAACTTGCTACTCTCCGTCACTTCAAGATCATCACTCTTGAAGGACACCCAGTGGAACTAAAAGATATCATAATCTTCTGAAAGAAGAGTTATACAGTTGTTACCAATAAAATTTTTGTTTGTTTGATACGAACAAAAATACTATAGGTAATGACACCGAACGTCTCTATATCCACAAATGATACGGATGCCCAATTACCCTTCCTAAATGTCCGCAATTCCTGAATTCCCTACAATCCTCAAATTCCTAATCCCCATAAGGCTGGTAACGCACTTGTAACGCTTCTGGTGTTTCAGGTTTCCATTGGCGACGCCGATTGCTTACCATCAGGTGATCCGTCTGTTCGTTTATCCCATAAAAAATGAAACAAAAATAGCAACTTGAAAGATTTATTTAATCTATAATCTTGTTTATAAGATCCTCATCACTCTCAGAGGTTAAAGATTCAGAGCTGGACATTGTGGATCGAATTTCTCTTTCTTGCTTGTCATCATCAACAAATATAGACCAGATTTTGTCCTTGATTGTTGTAAATACATTAACCTCGAAAGGATTCATTAAATTATCCACATCTTTCGGTTTAGTATAATTAGGAATATCATACTCTGAACTATCATCATTATAACTTCGTTTAATTTGAGCTGGTAGCTCAAAAACTAGTGACCTGCTGATCATTGATGCGGCAGAGCTAACTTTATCAAGTGCTGCTTCAAAATATCCACTTGCGGTACTGGGATAAGGTTCTGGTGGTTTACATGGTGGTAAGTTTATTTTCTCAGGAAGGTTGTTCATGTTTATGATGCTGAATCGCCTCAGATTATTGTTGCTAGGCGTATTACCAGATTCATTGCTTACTTTTTTTGGTGGTGGACAGTCTGAAGTCAAATCTGATACCGATTTTTTTAGCTTTTCATATTGTTTATTACCTTCACAAGAGATAACTGAAACAGCATCTTGTGTAGTTCTAAAAACTTTGCACATAAAGTCTTTCATTGCACATTTGAGAGTAGCTATAGTTTCATTATGTGCGTCCATTGTTGATTTACCGAGCATAGAACTTGAATTCGGGTTACAGACAGGTGGTGTCCTGGCAGGATTTTTGCAGGCATGTTTAGGCGTTGGTCTTTCCTTTTCACCACAAGAGCAGCAAAGACCACCGGTATTGGTCACATGTGGTTTCTCATTTGTATTTTCTACTTGTACTAGCTGACTTGTAATGTCATTAACTTTGCATGGGCCTTTAGGACTACTGTATACTAAGCCAGAACTTGTGCCGTTGTTCTTTCCATGAATATCTTTTGAAGATGTTTTACTTTGAAAGTCGGCCTTTGAATTTTTTGGGCATAGGTTTTTATGGGACGTTGATTTTTTAACAGAATTTTCGTCAGGGATTTCGGTAGGGCATGGTTTGTATCGGCTTGGTGGGTGTTCTTTATCAGAACTTTTGACAGGAATTTCATAAGGACATGGTTTATATCGGTTTGGTGTTTTTTTTTTAGCAGAACTTTCGTCATTTTTTTTGTGAGGACATGGTTTATTTTTGTTTGTTTTTTTTTCTTTATCACAACTTTCGTCATGAGTTTCGTGAGGACATGATTTATTTTTGTTTTTTTTGCGTTCTTTAGCAGAACATTCGTCATGAGTTTCGTGAGGACACGATTTGTTTTTTTTTTATGGGCATTCCTTATCACAACTTTCGTCATGAGTTTCGTGAGGACATGGTTTATTTTTGTTTGATGGGCAGTCTTTATCACAACTTTCGTCATGAGTTTCGTGAGGACATGGTTTATTTTTGTTTGGTGAGCGTTCTTTAGCGGAACATTCGTCATGAGTTTCGTGAGGACATGATTTGTTTTTATTTGATGGGCATTCTTTATCACAACTTTCGTCATGAGTTTCGTGAGGACATGGTTTATTTTTGTTTGGTGAGCGTTCTTTAGCAGAACATTCGTCATGAGTTTCGTGAGGACATGATTTGTTTTTGTTTGATGGGCATTCTTTATCACAACTTTCGTCATGAGTTTCGTGAGGACATGGTTTATTTTTGTTTGGTGAGCGTTCTTTAGCAGAACTTTCGTTAGGAGTTTCGTGAGGACATGGTTTGTTTTTGTTTGATGGGTTCTCACGTGGACTGTCAACCATTGTGTTTCTTGAAGTAGAACACGGCATAGGAGGACAGGGTCTAGCTGGACACGGATTTGGAGGAGAGGGTCTAGCAGGAAAATCCTTAGAAGGACACTGCTTAGCAGGACAGGGATTTGGAGGGCACGGCTTTGGAGAAGAGGGTTTAGCAGGACACTCCTTAGAAGGACACTGCTTAGCAGGACACGGCTTTGGAGGGCACTGATTAGCAGGACACGAGTTTGGAGGAGGGCACGTCTTTGGAGAAGAGGGTTTAGCAGGACACTCCTTAGATGGACACTGCTTAGCAGGACACGGCTTTGGAGGACACGGCTTTGGAGGACACGGCCTTGGACACGGTTGAGGAGGACACTGCTTGGCAGGACAAGGCTTAGGAGAACACGGTTTTGGTTTTGGTGGGCACGGTGGAGGAGGACACGGTTTTGCCTTCGCAGGACACGGCTTAGGAGAACACGGTTTTGGCTTCGGTGGGCACGGTGGAGGGGGGCACTGCTTCGCAGGACACGGCTTAGGAGGACACGGTTTTGGTTCCGCTGGGCACGGTTTAGGGGGACACTGCTCTGCAGGGCACGGTTTAGGGGGACACTGCTTTGTAGGACAAGGTTTAGGAGGACACGGCTTAGGAGGGCACGGCTTAGGAGGGCACGGCTTAGGAGGACACTTCTTAGGCTTAGGTGAATCACAAGAACACGATGGAGGAGGTGGACAGGGAGGTGGTGGACAGGGAGGTGGTGGACAAGGAGGTGGTGGACAAGGAGGTTTACCACAACTACACAGTGGCTTATCTTTTGTGGACTTCCCTTTTTTTAAACAACTGTCCGATAATGTTTTTAATGAAGTCAATAATTTGCCTATACAACTTTTACTTTCGGAAGATTTGTCGCAACAATCTGATTCTATACCTGATGGCCAGCTTGAATTATTAGATTTTTGTGGACTTATTGGAGGATTATCAAGATCTTGTTTACCTATAAGGCACGCACAACAACACTTATCCGCAGGTTTTTTCCCACAACGTGGCTTGGGACAACCTGGGCATAAACTAGGATCTGTTATTTCTATACAAATTTTTGGTTCTGTTTGACCTGGACAGAGTCTAAAATTTGGTTTAGGACCAGAGTCGCACGGGTCCTTCTTCTTTTCTTTTTTTGTACAAGTACAACATTTAGCTTCCTTCTTAGGAGATTCACAGAATTTATTTTTCTTGGGTTTTTGTGAACAACAATCAGATTCGTCTGAATCTGTATCTGTATCAGAACAAGATTTGCTTGGGCATTTTGAAACTGGTGGTTGTTGGCAGTCTGTGCCACAGTTTTGTTTTTTGTTTTTATCAGGTGCAGGCACTTCGTAGCAAGGTGGGTTTTCGGGAAACTCTTCCGAAGCAGCCTTTACAGCATCGTTGATAAGTAATTGTCCAGAATTCGGACAACCCGGTGGATAAGGTTGTAAAAATGGTTTTATAACTTCTTTGCAATACTTGTATTTGTTTGAGCAAGCATCATCATTGTGTGGGTGAGCTTCTTCAGTGAGAGATTCTTTGACTATCGTAACAGATGTTGGACAGTCAGGATCCTGTATAATTTGACTAAATGAAAATACTTTTAATGTTCCTTCCTCATTGTCCTTCTTTTCTAGTTCCCTTGGAAGCGGTAATTTAAAGGATTTCTCTGAGCAATTAGTGTTCTTCACTGCATTTGGCTTTTTAGTTTGTGTTTCTTTATCAATAGCTTTGAAGAGAGAACTAACATCACATTTTTCGTATCCCAAGTTTTCGAGATGCATAATATTAAAAAATTCGAATGCTTATCTGACTTACATTTTGCCGGATATCACAGAGCTGAAATAAAATATTATCTACTTTCACGTTGCTAATTTTAGTGCCATTTTTCTGGCCTTGGTTTGTTCTTTATGACAAAATTGTATAATAATGTGTTATGTCAATTATTCTAAAAAATTTTATTACAAATAAGGTTATTCTTATGACTTTAACGATGACTGGCACAGCTGGCTGGTTTAAAATAAAATCGTAAAAAGAGTTTTATATCTGTGATATTACTCATGGTGTGGTGTTGATTAGATTCTACATACATACACATCATCATGCCTCTCTCCCATTGGAGTAGGAAGACTATGGAACGTCAATTGTTACGATTCTTACATGATCCCCTATACTTATTATACTCTTTGCTTACATGCCTCTTTCGCCTCATCAGTCATAAGTCTTTTCATGCATGGTTGGATTTTGTAAGAAACTAATAAGCGAACAACAAACTTACCAGAACTACTTCTGGGAGCATAATTACTACTGCTGCTCACTGCACCACAACCCCACCCCTATCATAGGACGCCACGAATGATTTTTTTAATATATGTAATAGTTTTCTTGCTCTCCACGGACTCCTGTCTGTGCTTTTGTCATTCAATAACATTTTTTTATTATAGTCAATTTTAATTATGCTGGGTAATCAGCACGTAAAATTTTCATAATATAATAATACTTTATGTCTGTAAAAATACACATATAATTAACCCTACTAGATCAGCCCATCAGTACGATGAGCGAGCCGACCTGTTCCAGCAGAAGGCTCTCGTCCACGAGCAAAAAGAAAACAAGTATGTTTATATTTCAAACAGACGAAAAGTTTTATACTATGTAGAGATGAACTAAAATCTTTGGATTGTAGTTACTTATTCTGGACTCGTCCACGACAGTCGGTGGAACTTCGTGGAGCACTTCCGACGTTTGGCTCAAAAGTTGTAAAGGACGGGGGAGGCGCTTAAGCACCTCCTAGCCAACCTGGAAGGCAGGCGCCTCCTGCCGGAGGTTATACGCCGGGGTCGTGCGGTCCATGGCTGCTCACGTCACCGAGGATCCTGGCGATCCGAAATCCGCGGATACCGCATGATCTCCGGGCAGGCGGCGAACCTCCTTGCCGGATTACCGCCGTGGGATCTGGAGGTGAAGGTGCTCGCGCGCGTAGTTTTTCTGCGCGTGGAGTCACGTCGCCGGGGCGAAACTTGGCTGCCGCGCCAGATAAGTGCGTGGCGGGATGAGCTCCGGCGCGATCTTATGGTGGAATGGCAGCATCGACAGTCACAACCGAGGGCTGGGCTCAATGCCATTGCAGCGGTAAGTCCCCTCCTTGAGGAGTGGATTGAGAGAAGCTACGGCGTCCTCACTTACCGCCTAACGCAGGTCGTTACCGGACATGGAAGTTTCGGGAGGTACCAGTGTCAGATGAGGCGGGAAGAACCACCCGGGTGTCATTACTGCGAGGACCACCCTGAGGACACGGTGGAGCACACAGTAGGGGAATGCTCTGCGTGGGCCGAGCACCGCCGTACCCTCAGAGACGTGATCGGTGATGGCGGCCGGCTCGAAGTGCTGGAGTAGGAACGGGGTGGTTTTTAGTCATTAAGAGTCTGACACTGCCTCCCGCCTCACCCAGGTGGGAGAAGTCATTCGATGATTATCCCCCTTATAAAAAAAGTTACTTATTCTACTGTGTGTGTGATGTGTATGTGTGTTTGTTACTCTTTCATGAAACAACTACTGATCAGAGTACCAGACACGAAAAACTATAGCATTCGTAATATGTAGTATCGAGCTCGTTCGCCGCTCTGATGAGCCGGCTCTAGTGAAGCAACCTTTCTTCTCTTTCTCTTACGTTACGAATGCGATAGTTATTCGTGCTTGGCAGATTGAGATCTAGTATAACACGTAGGTTACAATTTATCCCACAACGACGCATGCGAAGCTGCTGGCAGAAGCTACTTTCATATATTGTTACTGTTCTACTACACACTTGAGTATACTTTATATTAATGTTATGATCAAAAATCGTCTGTACTTATTGAAATATTTTTATTATATTTTTGTCGTACAAGTTTTTATTATTGGTTTCCAAAAGTTATGGTGCATATCATACTACTGTTTGTGCATCTTTATTTGTCTCATCTTAGGTGGATCTTCTGGTAACAGATATCTGACTATGTTCTTAGCAAGGGTCTTTGGACTTCCTGGCTGCAGTTTGGCCACACGTTGGTTGTTTGGCAGCTTTGCACAGTTCCAAGTGTTCTCTCTTCAGCCTTTCTCTTCGATCAGGTGTTATAGGAGTATTTGCGCAGGTTTTTTCTTCTTCGCAGTCATCGTCATCTTTTCCTTTTTTGCGTTTTTTTTTGCTTAACTTGTCTAACGTGCAAGGGTCGATGTACTGGGGTGGACATAGGTGTTCTTTGGGTGAACAATCCTTCTTAGTTTTAACAATCATTGGTGGACAATCGTCATCATCATCATCATCGTCGTCTTCATCATTCTGATCATCTTGACCATTTTGGTCATCTTCATCATTTTCATTACACTCATTATTTACGACAAGTTTCATATTTGTTTTGCTTCTTGAAAATTTTCACCTGTAGATTTCTTGTTTGACCCGACGTTATTGAAATTTTGCGAGAGTTTTGAAATTGAAATTGTTTTGATTGGAAATTATTTTATTGTAGTTCTATGACAGATAATGGTTTTGACGGATGGAAGTTCTTTTTTAAGAAAGGTCGAATATGTTCGGTTTGTGTGAAAAGGTTTATTACTTACAACCTTAGAGTATTTAATCTACGGAGCCGCGGAGGACTTAACGGGTTGCCGGGGCTCCGGCTCGATGAGCAGAAGTAGCAACGGGATAGTTTTAGTCAGTAGGAGATAGGGCTGACATTTTCTCTAAGGAAAAAAGCCCTTATTATTAAATAAAGATTTAAAAAAAAAAGAGTCTGACACTCCTTCTAGCCTAACTGAAGGCGGGAGAACTCATACGATAATTCCCCCCCCTCAAAAAAGCTAAAGAAACAACTACTTGTACAAAAAACTAATAATTTGCGTTTATGATGGAGTCTTTAACTTATCGATAACCTTGTTAATGGAAATAAAACATTGGAAGAATAGTCGTACTAGTTACTGTAATATTTTTGAATACCTGCGAATATTTGTGTTATACCTCTAGTGCGTTGCATAGTTTGAGATTCTAAAGTCGCGTTTTCACTAGGAGGCATGTCGCGGAGACATATCGTCCAACACTCACGTGGTATGTCTCTGCAACTATGTGGAACAAATAATGCCTCTCGACAATTCGCTTGTTTATATTGGCCAGTTGTGAGCAGTATCTCGCCCAAGGAGGAGTCACTATTCTCGTTGGGGCGCATTACTGCCATTTCCAGCACACAAAGTGACACACGTTCTCACTATCCAAAGCCTGTCCGGCAACTGTCGAGAGACACGCAGTCACGCATGGTGACGCTCGCAAGGCATCGACTAGCGACAAGTTGCGCTACCCGTTAATGTTGTCGGGTGTCATCACGTGACACGTGAATTTCGTGTTGATCAACAGAGTCGCGAAATAAAACGTTTGAGGATTTTAAGTGGCAAGTAGCAATATACATTAACATAATGGCAATAAAGTAGAAATTGCCGTGCATATGGTCGTAATAACAAAAATACCGCTTCGGTATGCTTGAAGCAGCTGTATCGGTAGCCTTGAGAATCCTTCGGGATGCTTCGGCATCCTCCAGCCGCCGGGCGCCGGCATTATTGATTTCTCTTCTTCTTCAGCAAGAGCTGCTATGATCACTAGATTCCAGTCCACAACTCGGAAAACTAGCTTGTAACAGCTCTAAAACTGTTATGACGAGAAATACGATATCGAGACGCTTAGGCATGTTGGTGCGCCATGCGTAAGTATACCTCGTCATCCAAAGAACGTTCCAGCATGCTAAAGCATAGTTCCCGACAGTGTGCGCTTGCATGTAAAATGCCGAAGGATCTTTTTCCTTGCCAATGCCGATAGTGGGCACCGGGCCTTTAACGTCTTGCTGAGACCATTGCCGTGATGACGGCAGAATTTTCTATTTTCATCAGCTTTTGATTAGCTTCCCACGGGTATCTTAAGAGACGATGGTGACCTTAAGAGATTAATTTTACAGATACCTGTAGATCTCTACTTGATGAAGATAATATGAAGATAATTGATCTGGTAATGATAATATATTCTGTGCACTCATTTCATTAATTATAAACATATGAAACAGTTAAAGTATTTATTATTTTTAAGGATATATGTATATCTTTTTAAAGTTCAATAAAATTGTTACGAAATAAAAATAAAACAAAGAAATATCAATCAAAATTTTATTTCATGCAACTGAACAAGAAGTTGGGCAAAGTTTATTGTTCAAATAAATACCTAGTTTGAAGAATGACAAAATCGTAATGACTACTGATTGGTAGAAAATGGTCGTATTATAGATACTGATTCTTGAGCTGTCGTCTTCGTACGGAAGATTCATAAATGGGACGTTTTGATCTGCGCTCGCTGCACAAAGCGCTTCAATCATGGCCAGAGTAACATAAATGAGCAAATGTCTTGCTACGGACATTCTAAGTACATTCAATATAACTAGTATTATTTCAAACTTCATAACCAATTTTTATGCCCGTCCGTTCTCCTTCCAAAAATCAATTTGCATTCAATAGTACTCTGAATTTCTTGGCTATATCTGATATTCTTCTTGTATAGTTCTTCCGCTATGCTCTAATGCTTTGACTTCTCAGTGTGTTACTTAGGCCTATTTATCTATTGTGATCAAATTTTCGTGTAAATCTGCTCTAAGGCGTTTCTTCTTTGTCTTTTCTCTCTCTATCACGGTGGTGGGTCTTCATGAGTTGGCGGTTGTTTATTTTTCTTAAGACTCAGCCTTTTTATGGGCTGGTCTTGTCTGGTGACAACTCTCTTCTTCTCTGCGCTCCTGGTGTTTCCTGTGGGATTTAACCCACTGTCGAGAAGATTTGGAGCGTCAGCGCTCGCGGGATGAGGATCGCAAATACTGTCTCTCGCCTTCTTTTTCCTTTTTGGAGCCATTGAACAGCAATTAACGAGATCTGTTCAAGAAAATTGATCGCACGTGAAATTTTATATCTTTTTGTCTAAATAGATTTTTTTACGAATACTACATTTTGATTTTGATGTCTTTTTTCCTCGAGCTCTTTTTATTTGACGTTTGACAGTTTGTTGTTTGAAAATTTTCTCTTTTTTGATATTCTTCTTTTTTAGATCTGTTTTATTCTAAAGAGTTTTTGAAATTTAGGTGTTAGAATAAAGGAGGTTTTATTTTTTTGATGCTTTAGAGAAGTTATTGTTGTGTTCTTGGTTGAGTTACAATTTTAGAGACTATCTTGTATTAGATGTTTCGTAGTTGTAAATCGTTAAATAACATTCAAATAATTTGCCAGTTAGATTACAATATTATTCCCTTTATTTATTTTCATACTTGATTTAAATATTTCATTATATGTAAAAAAAAAAACATTTAAAAATATAAAAAGCAGTAGCCCACCGGTAACGGGAGAAATCCAAGTTACCGGTGGTCAGGGCTCCAGAGAAAGAAATTTCCGAACAATACGCGCCGTGTCCAGAAGTACTGCTTTCTGCATCAGGCCCTTGACCCAACCATCTAACGCTAGCCTACTCAGATGTTGGTCGAGGCTTTTAGCAATGAGGCCATTGGCAGTACGACTATCGGCACAATGACTGCTGAATCCACATCCCACATGTCGACAATCTCATGAGCTAAATCAAGATATTTACTTGCTTTATCTTTTTCAGCTTTCACTAGATTCTCGTCATGTGGGATTGTTATATCAACTATCATTGTGCGACGGCTTGGTCGATCTATCACCACAATGTCAGGTTTGTATGCAACAATTGTCCTGTCTGTGATGATAGTTCGATCCCAATACAGTGTGACATCTCCATTTTCAAGAACTGGGTCAGGCAGATACTTATAATACGGCACTTCAGATTCTACAATATTATTATTATTATAGATTACAATATTACCCGGCTGTAGGAAGGGTATTGTTTTTATAATTCTTTCTCTGAACGTTCTAATATTTTGAATGTAAGTAAAAGAGCATAGCGTTTTTTGGGACAAGGCTGCCACAACCTCACAAAACCGCTGCAACTCCTTTAACACGTTGACTGCGTTAGTCAAATCTGATGACTTTCAGTTGGTGCGGCATCGGGTCGATTATATCCGAAGTCCTACTTGTCCGTGGTGCAGTGCTGGGTCGAAAAGACCTGTTCGACTTCGGTCTGTTTAAAAGGACTTATCTTAATAGGGATAACGATGAAAGCATTTTTCTTGATACCAATATATTGACAAATACCCGATACAATTTTTTGATATCTTTACTCATTCATATTCATAGGGAGACCAAATATATCTGTCTCGCACCAGCGGTTAGATACCGCACCGAACGTGTTAAACCCCGATCTACAGTAGATACAAACATGAAAACACCAGAACACTGAAGTCCGGCGCGTCCTAGAGACACGAATAACTGTCTTGGTTTCCGTAACGAAATGAATCAGAAGATATTATAAGAGAAGAAGAAAAATTAAAGGAACATTAAATCAAGAAAGGAGTAAAAAGCTATTTTTTATAAACTCATATGCTTTATTTCGTACTGGTGCGTTTGCCTTACAAATATACCTATTAAAAAATTAAACAGAAAATTCCATGAATTTTTTAATAATTATTTTAATCATTTATCTATTATAATGACGATCACTAAACGATATGCTTCCAGAAATTAAAAGCAACACCAAATTAATAAATAGGAAGATAATAATGCAAAAATATTATTATTATTATTATACAAAAATGAGTAGAATACTTTATACAGCTCAGACCTTTATCTAATAAATTAAAAAATAATAATAGATATACAAAATCGAGTAAAAGAGAAACATTTAAATTGTTAAAGAAAATAATTAAACAAAAATCATGTTTAATTTAAATGTAAGTTTTAATTATTTTTGATAACTAAATGAAATGTATATTTTTTTAAATGTATTATCAGAAAAAGGCCCGCTATTTGTATCTTTGGTGATCAGTTATTGCTTTCTTTCATATAAAATATAAACTATTATTATACTGCGCTGTATATAAAGACATTACAATATTTTTTTAAAGTCTTTGGCGTTTCTCTAAACTGTATGACGTATGTTTTAAAACAATATTAAAAGCATGCTCATCGGGTCTGAGAAAATAATAATATTTACATTTACAAAAAATCTCAATAATAACTTTGAGAAAAATAATAATCAATAATAATAATTAATGGACGGAAACGATAAGATTTGATAACTAATATTATTTCATAATAAAACAATTATTTGAACTTATTACGTTTACATAATTATGGCATACAGCGTGCTAATTTGAACATGCTATACACGTATAATTAAAAACTAATCATTTTATATAAAAAGTAAAAAAAAACACGAATAATCTCATAGTAATTTCAAAAATAATCTAAATAATATTTCTTAGCATTTGACTTGCATAGTTTGTTAAACAGCTTCATCAGAAGAAAATACATTTGATAACAATACAAAGAAAATAAATTAGACAACTTACATAAATGATAACGATTTTAAATGTAATAATAAATGTAAAATCTTCTTTCCATTGTGCACACAGGACAGCTTAAATAAAATTAAATGGAAGTTTTAAAAATAAATGTTACACAAAATTATTCACTACTTTGTAACTATGTTGAGGTAAAAAAGAGAATAAATCTTAATTCTAATAATGACATTAAATGAATTACATTATAGTTTTCATTAAAATACATTATTTACACCTTATAGTAGTGAAGTAACTTTGGCTCTCTGAACTTTCATTTAATTAAAGATAATGAGTATAAATGAATTACATTTTTAAATGTTCGAGAAAGCAAAAGTCTTAGTACTGACCTGAATAAAATTAATAGAAATTATTAGAATTAGTTATTATTTAAGGACATTGTACAAATATATTAATTTATCTACAAAAGGAGATTGTCTATAGGAAATAAAACTAATTGTCTCACATGATCGATCGATATACATATATAATTTTATATTAGTGTCCGTTTTATATCACTTGTGTTTTTTTTCGTTGTTATCCGCCGACTACTACTCGCACGGCGTACGTTGATATCTGGAAAGAATAAAACATATTTATTAGCACCTAATCACTTTATGTCACGGATATATTATTATATATATTGAATAGTTAGTACATTATTCAAGTTTAGCCCTAAAAGGTTTTTATAGGTATTTTAAGACTTAAGAAGACTGCCTCGATGGCCGAATGGTGGCAAGTGCGAATGCCGGGCAGGAGGTCTCGGGTTCGATTCCCGGGTCGCGCAAAGTATTACTGGGTTTTTAAAAAATTCTCAGTAGTAGCACGGAGTCTGGAAATATGCCCAGTATAAGGCAATAGGCTCACCCCCCTATTACATAGGACTCATAACATAAATAATGAAAAGTGGGTGTTACTTCTGTATGCACCTCTGCCTATCCCGTCGGGAATAAAAGGCGTGATGTTATGATGTTATGTTTTAAAATTTTCAAGTTTTTTGTCATTAAGAAATATCTTCTTGAGAAAATTTGAAATTATTGTTGGGCTTAAAAATGTCTTTGAATCTACCTATAATTTTGAATTTGAATTTTTAAAAGATCGATACAATATGTCTTCTCCTGTACAAAATACTAAATATAGAAGAGTACCTACTTTTTAAAATAGTTCTGAAACTTATATTAAATACTTACAAAGTATACTTAACCATTTAGAAAATATAATGTTAAAATTGAAACCTAACTAATTTGAAGTGTTTTTTTTTTACTATGTAACTAGGGAATTGTATTGCAAACCTGATTAAAAAAGAGTAACCTACAGAGTTTCTTGCTCGTTATTCTCCATAGGAATCTACATTTTGGAATGAGCAAATAGCTTCACTTTTAATTTTTGTTGACGTTCAAAAGTGCCTTTTTGGTCTGATTGAAATAAATGATATTGACTTTGACTTACAGAGAAACTTCTAAAACAACAATCAACCAATATTTCAAAATCAAATTAGTCAGTGCAATCGAATCGATGCATTATTCCACACCTACTACAGAAAGAGACCCCTATCAAAAGTTTAAAAGTACTCCTAGTAGAATGAATCACTTAAATTTAATGCGCTGTAAGTTATCCGAGCCCTTAGGGACCCTACCATGCCCTTTGTCAAGGCCCTTAGGGACAAATAGGGATGGAAACAAATGTACTAGTGTAGCCCTATTGTGTTCTGATTTATTTTTTGTCGATTAATTTAGTTGTAATGTTGTAATGATACTTTTTTTTGCTGTTGACAGTTCTTTATGATGGGTAAGAAATTGTTTTTAGTTTTAGTTTCGGGCGTGATTTTTGTGTCGTGTTTTTGTTATTATTAATTTATTTATTTAGAAAATTTACATACCTTTATACAACACTACATCTTACGTCATTAAGTTATACTGATTATCTTAAATTTGGTTTAATGGTATTATTGTGACACCGAAAAAAACAGATTTGTAGTTTTTACATTAGAGTTAGAAGTCTGTACCAAAATATTGTTATTTTTGTGTAAAAATTATGCAATTTGACAGCACGGTCGGCGCGTTGGCTCGGCAACCGTCTGCCGCACAACGGAGCAACTCTTTGTGTGGCAAATTGTTGTTTCATGTCTTAGTGTGATGTGTATGTGTATTGTATCTTTGTAAACATACTCACGACACAGGAGAATATCCAACTGTTTAATTACGTTTTTTTTAAACATTGTTCTGTAATATCTTGGTACGCAAGTCCTATTATACATTTTTGGTCTTACAATCTGTACTACGGGTAGTACAGTTATAATTATTAAAACAACTAGGTACTTCAAGAAGGTATATTGTAACAAAGAGAGATGAGAAATTATAATTTCAAAATTTCACCTTTTTCAAAGTCAAAATCCCGAATTAGGCACTTTTGAAACGTCAAAAATTGAATTGACCAAAATAGTCATATTTAGGTTCCTTTTCATCTACCATAAACATATTCAAACAAAGCACACATAGTCGACAACATGCGACAACATCCGACCCTATATGAAAGACAATAGCAAAATGTTATATTCAGTCAACAAAATTAATAGCAAGCTTTATAGTCATGAATACAAGGATCATTTTCGAGTGGTATTGTGGTTTATTGATGCAGAAATAAGTTTGTATAGACGAGTAGCTTTGATGTAGCACCTATGGGATTGGGATTTGTATCTAATTTGATGGTGGAATCAAAACAATATATTCTACGAGACATTCTTTATACTGTTATTGTCGAATTGTCAGTGAATTTTCCAAGGGATTTGATGGGAATGAGATTTTATTGAAGACTGGATTTTTTAGTTGATTCTAAGGATTGAGGTACTTTTCAATAGCTTTTATGAAATATTATAATTGAGGTATATATTTGGAACTACATTTTCGCATTTGTAAAGTTATCATGCTATGCCAATTTCATTTATATTGTCCAAACATTTTAATTTTGATAAACTTTAACATCATAACTATCAATGTTAAAAATAAGGAAACACATTTAACAAAATAAATTAAGCTTCCTGGATTTAACAGAGGCTTTCGACACACCGCACACATTAACTGCTCAGAGGATTTTACAGCATTTAAATCGCCTGGTCGTTTAGCAGGCTCTGAGTAATAAATGGCTTTGTGTTCGAAATAAATCTGATCCGTTTATCACTTAGAGAGGCTCGTACGGTCAGTTTTTAGAGGGCGTACCTCAGGGAAGCGTTTTAGCACCTGTGTTTTATTAATTAATTTGAATTGGTGCTTTTATTTGGTTTTTAAGAGTAAGAGAAAATGTGAAGTAGATTTTTTATAAATACTATTATTATTGATTGGTTTAGGTTATTTACTATTTTTATTTATTTTTCCTTGAAAGCAAATAAAATAGCAACCTTCAATAAGCTACATTTCTTTTGATTCTATATAATTCAGACCACTAACCATATATTATCGTCTAAATGTCTAGATAATGTCATTCACTTGTTTTAAAAAAAAAGTTGTTTCTATTCTACACTTTTTTTAATAAGGCAATTCTTTTATAATCGTTATTTTTTCTTATAAATTTAACTTACCACTTGGACAGTAGGCCGGTGGCAGCAGAATGCGAGTAGGGTCCTCCGTACGGGGAGTACTGTGAGTAGGGAGCCGCGTATGCGTATTCACTGGCTAACGTTGTCGTACCTGGAAATCAAGAGATATAAATTAATTAATTGTTCTTTGAAATGGTTTTACTTCATGTTTAGAGTATTTAATAAAATTATGAATGGGTTAACACACACTCCTAGACCTAGAAGAGAAATTTACGGATCAATCTTTAATTTCTTAACAATACCATATTATTATGCTAACTGTACAATATGTACAGGGCACTAATAAAATATCTATCAAAATTTCAAGTAGTTACACGTCTATCTAAGGGGTCTCGGGTTCGATTCCCGCGTCGGGCAAAGTAGTACTGGGTTTTTAAAAAATCTCAGTAGTAGCACGGAGTCTGGAATTGTGCCTGGTATATGGCAATAGGCTCACCCCCTATTATATGGGACTCATAACATAAATAGTGAAAAGTGGGTGTTACATTGTACAGTGGCATAATGTGCACTTCTGCTTACCCCTTCGGGGATAAAAAGGCGTGATGTTATGTGTGTGTTACACGTCTGTCTATCTCTTTAGAAGATAACAGCACACAGTATAGTACTAGTCACATAAAATAATACTCAACAATTTCCTTGTCTACAAAAATATATATAAAAGGAAACCATTAAAAATAAGCGTTTTTACTTTCAACTGTCCTTCTAGTGGTTCCTTCCTTCATAGAATTAACGAGGTACGTCATCTAATGATTAATGATCAAGTCCATTGTCTTGTCTGATGAGCTAATCGTTTTAAGTCGAGGGGAGTTTTCGAAGTCGTATAGGACTGTGCAAGCTATTGAAAGTTTAGAACATCATTTAGTTAAAATAATAATCATATGGCACTGTAAAGAGACTTACTGGATGTCATATTTTCATATATAATATTAAGCGTTAATCAAAGTCATGTCCCCACTAACTATCATCAGACACTCTTCAACCAGGACTAACGAACCAGTGCGTAGTTCAAAAACATGTTAAGCATACATTAAATATTTATTAATTATTTACAAAATCGGTACCATCACTTAATAAATAATCCGACGCGTTATTTATAACCATTATCCAATTTGATCACTCAGAATCACCACTCAACATTAATAGGCTGTGCCCAAAGCGGCACGCCTCAAACAAATTTAACACTAACACGCCCCCTGAACACTTACGCGTAACCACTTGCAACCCCCTCCCACCCCGGTTTAATATTTATAAACGTGAGCCTAAACCCGTTTGAGCTAGCAGCACTTCTGTTCCGCGGGCTCTTGTGCCGGTTCGTTAGCCCAGACAAAGCCCGTATGATCCCCCACCGCGCCCCCCTCTAAAATTATTTGCATAGAACCCCGAATGAGCTATTAAAGATGTCTGCTTACCCCCCTTACCACCCTCCGCCAAGATAAGCAGATTGCGGCAGATTAAAGACCAGAAGCGTAAAGAGCGGCCCCCACACCGCTCCCTGTGGCACTCCATTTTAGAATCTCTCTTTAATATGCATAAGTGCTAAAACTGTGGGCGCTGTATGAAATTTTATGATGTTATAACACAGAGAGCATTGCGGGGTCCAAGGAGAAAATTAGATTTCCGACGGAATGGCTCGGAGTGGCTCACTCGACTTTGTCGAAAGCTTTCCTGAGTATTTTTTTCTCGCTTTTGTTTTCTCGACAGTGATTCTCGCTGTTTATCTGTTCGGCCACTTTTATTTTTGCTTTCATTGTTTTATTTCTGTGCGTGGATCTTTATTGAGGGGGAGATTCAAGTTAAATTGTCGCATTTTTATGCTTTTGTCTAAGCGATAAGAGGATGCTAACATATTTTTGTGTGAATTTTGTTTCATTTTCTGAAAAAGCTGTTTCTTCCAGATACTTTCTTACGCGTATATTTTATATCTTATTACAGAAACATAGTCATGTAGAAGCCGCGTGTTTTATATATGACTATATGGATATAATATGTAAGAATTTTATGAATATGACGTCTATCAAAGTAAGTATGTAATTTACTTTATGCTAATGTTATGTTCTAAGGGCGTTCTACGACATGGCCGTCTGTTTTAAGTCATAATAATACGTATAGATGCGTACACACTTACTCCTACCTACATTATCTGAGATAGGCAAAGGATGCCACAGATCACTACATACGTGTATTTAATTACTAGCGACCCGCCCCGGCTTCGCACGGGTGCAATATGCATGTATTATACATACAAACCTTCCTTAAGAATTACTCTATCTATTAAAAAAAACCGCATCAAAATCCGTTGCGTAGTTTTAAAGATCTAAGCATACATACGGACATACAGCGAAAGCGACTTTGTTTTATACTATGTATTGATTATGCGATCCAAGAGTGATATACTGTTACACAAACATGCCCAGAATACAAAACAATTTTAAATGTTTGATATTTATGTAATATACATAAAAAATTATGGGTTTCTAAAAGCACTCTTCGCACAGAAGAACATTCTAGAATGGAGCGAGGTTAACCCAAATAGTAACAAAGTATAGATGTCGTAGACTTACCATCATAATGTGCGTACGGAGGGTATGGTGGTGCAGGTGGCTGTAGGACGACCAGTGCTGCAGCATCAGGACTCGCAGCCGCTGACGGAGGTTCACCACCAGCGCCACCATTGGAACCCGTGGAGTCATTCGTTGCTGTAACAAGATCAACATTTGAAGATGCTATGCTATTCATCGTAGTTGTGGTAATGACGCTGTTACTCTTGGTCGTTTTGTGGCATTCAGGTATTTAAAATGTTAGTGAAATGAATTAAATTATCTTTTAGTGAATTGTAAAACAACTATCGTGAGACATATTGAATTAACTAAAAACGACGGCTTACTCACGTATATATTGAGATAATATCTTCTAGTTTCGAGTCACAGAGGGACTGTTCCTCATGAGCAGAATGCGCGGTCGCGGCGATGTCGCGAAGCCTACACGCTGCTCAGGAGGAACAGTCCCCCTGTGATTCGAAACTAGCAGAGCTTTTCTTGTCGTCCTTGTATTTTTGGATAATTGTAAAACAGATTGAAAAAGGATAATATTTTTTTTTTAGTTTCAAAAGTGCTTCTAGTATTTCTTTGATTTTAATTAAGGTTTTGAAGCTTTCGTCTATTGCAATAAGTTTTCTTTTTATGTCAAAACCTGTTTGCTTCCTTGAAGAATCTTGTTTTCTTTATTTATACCTGAATGTTTATAGACCAAGAGCAAAAGCGTTTAGTATAAGAGCCAGCTTACAGAGTGGTTGCAGGGATGTTTGACTTAACGTGGGCAGTCGATTGTGCGCTGCCAAAGAGGAAACTACATGTTAATTATTTGTTACAGTGTCCTAGAGTGGACGGTGTCTTAGAGTAGGTTTAGTATTCATAATGATTTTGATGATCTTATAAACCAATTATCCGAGATTTATCCCGTGTAGTTAAAGAAGTAAAGGTAACCTTATCAGTCTCCTAACTATCGTAAGGGTGTGTCCACATGCGCTGACTGTGCGCGCGTAGCTTGCAAACGGCTCGCTATCTGCACATTTGCGGCACATTCGCCAGATGTGGAAGCACCCTCACAAGAATCATTGTACTTATTTTATGGCATAAGCAGGTAAACGAGCAGACGGATCACCTGATGGTAAGCAATCGGCGTCGCCCATGGACACCTGGAACACCAGAGGCGTTACAAGTGCGTTACCGGCCTTTTGGGGATTAGGACTTTGAGGATCGTTGGGGAATCAGGAATTGGGAAGATTGGGGAAGAGGAAGGTAATTGGGCCTCCGGTAACCTCACTCACACGACGAAACACAACGCAAGCGTTGCTTCACGTCGGTTTTCTGTGAGGCCGTGGTATCACTCCGGTCGAGCCGGCCCATTCGTGCCGAAGCATGGCTTTCCCACACTATGGTAATAATTATATTTTAAGTTCTATACTCCATGTAATCGATCAATGTTAGCTGCCTGATTCATGAATCTAACCTAAGACTTAATTGCTCGTTAGTAGCACTTACCACTCGAGCAATGAAGTAGTTCTTTTATTTATACGAAATCAAATTATACGTTGAGTTCTTGAGACAATTTGATTGCTTTAACTATTTTTTACTCTTATTTACATCAAACTTGAAACAGTAATTTGAAGACTAGCAAATCAGTTGTAAGACCAAGATGATTAAGTCTAAGTGCGATATGAGTAACTGTTACAACATTATAGATTAATTTCGGAATTAGACCGTGACAATTATGGTCAACAGTGATTTTATCATCGTTACATGAATTAAGCATGCAATAACAAAATTTAAGACAATAGAAATAAAGTCGTTTGTAGGAAATTAGATGCAATATTTTATCTGAAGGATTAAAACAAAGATTTTGAAAATCCTTTAGACCACAGTCTATTGTTTTTTTCAAACATTGCCCTAAATTAGGATTTACTCCTGTGTCGTGGGTGTGCTTACAAATATACAAATTCACATACATATGACACCCAGACCCGAAACAACGGTTTGTGGTTTATACAAAGTGTTGTTTCGTGCGAGAATCGAACCCGCGACACGGTGCACGGCAGCGGGTTGCCCAGCCAATGTACCAACCAACTTGGACTGTTGACCTCCTTTACATAAGAAGTGTTTGTTTTAATCTTTACGCTTGACAAACGGGTTGGTAATCATTCAGGTTTATCAGAGAGCATTGCTACATAATCTCTGATACAGAAATATCATACAATTTTACCACTACGACAGAAATGAATGTCATCAAAAAGCCTTTCCAAAAGATAGATCCAATATAAAAACCACACAGACAGACGAACCTTCGAGTATTCGTAAAGCGGATCATATTTTAAAATCGCCCATGAAATAAAGTGCCGCTGAAAACGAATAGTTTTCAACTGAAATCATGAAAAAGCTGATCCTCAGTGATATACGTTGGCAGTGTAACATTTTGTGACCACTGTCAATTTATGGCTGGTCCGAGATTTATTGGAATTGAATTGACTGCCTTGTTGGCTGAGTGGTCGCAATTGTGCGACTCGGGCAAGGTGTTGGATTCCCGGGTCGGGAAAAGTATTACTGGGTTATTAAAAAACAAATCTTAGTCAGCACGGGGTCCGGAATTGTGCCCGGTATATGGCAATAAGCTCACCCCCTATTACATGAGACTCAAAACATAAATAGTGAATAGTGAGTGTTTTTTTTATGGCATAGGCCGGTAAACGAGCACAGACATATACCCTGCTGGTAAGCAATTGGCGTTGCCCATGGATACCTGGAACGCCAGAGGCGTTACAAGTGCATTATATAATATAATTTTAGCTAGCCACTTTATAGTACTACAATAAGCCCCATAAAAAATCTTACCCGCGATTAAACTCAAAAATCATCCTAATCCCGTCACGATTTCCTACCAGAAAACAAGCCTATTCCAGGTACAAAATTCCAGGACAGACACCATTCAACCATACCCCAAAACCCTATTGCCACGATAACCCACAAAAATCCATGTCAAGCTAACTGTCGCGGCATGCAGGTTTGACACCGCAGCAGGCAATTTTCAGGGCGTGACAGAATATGGCGTAATGATGGCGTTTGCTAGAAATTACGGAGTCCAACCAAATTGAGTAGCTGTAGCTATCCGTTACTTTTGTGAACCTTATTGTTTATTGCCTTGTTGGTTTAGTGAATTTTAGTATGGTTGTTGAGCTAAGGGTCTTCGGTTCGTTTCCTACGTCTTTTAAAGTATGCAAGTATGAGTGATGGTTGTACGAAATTATGGCACCTGGTGCATGACAATACGTTAAACGCTTATTTTCTTTACATAGAACATACTATAATTATTATAACAGGAGATCCAAAGTGATCGGATTGGGGATTAAAAAGATACTGATCAAAAGTGATCACTATTTTCACTATTTATGGTTCACTATTTATGGTATGAGTCCCATGTAATAGGGGATCAGCCTATTGCCATATATCGGGCACATTTCTAGACTCCGTGCTACTACACAGATTTTAAAACCCAGTAATACTTTGCCCGACCCGGGAATCGAACCCGACCCCTTGCTCGGCGGTCGCACCCCCGATCACTCGGCCAACGAGGCAGTTTTGTATTTATAATATTAGGGATAGTAGGTCTAACAGTTATTCTAACTGTTATCGTTTAACGATTGAACAGTTTATCTTTGGTATTGTTCTTTATTGTTTTAGATATTCCGTGTTTTCGGTTCAATTGTTTCCGTTTGATTTAGGGCAACTTGAAGTCTTGTTGGTTGGACATAGGTATGGCTGTGTAGTATGCACTTGCACCCTAAGTTTGGTTCCCTAGTGATTCGATGCTTGAAATTCTACTACTTCATTGTTATCATCACCATATTAGCTACAAGGCGTACATTGTTGTTTTTATAGTCTATATATTATATTATATATTCGCGCAACGTGTCGCGATTTCGATTCCCGCACGGAACAACTCTTTGTGTGATCCACAGATTGTTGTTCCGGGTCTGGGTGTCATGTGTATGTGAACTTGTATGTTTGTAAACGCACCCACGACACAGGAGAAAACCCCAGAGTGAGGTAACATTTAAAAAAAATGTAAACTTTACACCTCTGTCTGTCTCCCCAGCACAATACAAATGACTTCATGACGTAACAAACACTAAAACCTCTCCATTCACAACAGAAATAAAACAAAAAAACATAAAACAATATAAACCGCAAAGCTTTTAACCAAGGAAATCGGCCGTGCGCCTGCGTCTACAATAGAACTCTTGCGCATCAAATTACATACGTCATGATATGCGCAAACGCATCTTATGTTACTGAGAGGGATCTACGTGATCCATTCACACACGAGGATGTGGTTAGCTCTATTTTTGTGGGAGAAAGAAAGTGTTACTCTTTGTTGATTTGACTTTTTATTTAGATTCATTAGATGCAATAAGCAAGTATAAAACGTAAGTAGGTAGGTATATACTATAAATTCTTTTGATGAAATGGGTTTTATGTCTAAAGAATTGGTGCTAAATTGTACTGAGTACCTCAAGCTAGGTATATTTTAATCACGGAAGGCTCTATTTTACCATATTACCTATTATCATGTTACGGGTTCTACGTAATAACTGATTAGCTTATTGCCCGACAACGGTCACGACTCTAGACTTTGGACATGCAAGGAGAAATTTTCGTAAAGCCGTAAATAGCTTAATAATAGTCTGATAATACGTTATCCAATTCTAAGACCATTTGCTCAACGGTAACTGTTAACCACTACAAAATAACAATAAAATCCACTACAAATTAAAAATAACCAAATAAAATAAATATGATTGAACTAGTAACAACTTTACTACAAAAGTAAGAATAAGAAAATAAAAGCAATATGTCTAGCAACACCATGAATGAACGAGATGAATGAATGAATGAGTGAACGGACCGAGTGGTTCCCATCGTCTGTAACCACAACCCATTACCTATGTGGTAGGATCACAATAATCGTGGTATTGATTATTTTTATACTTGTCACATGGGAATGTTTTTGTATCGCAAAATACTGGACAGATTTCAATCAGATGTCGTGTGAGTGAGGTTATCGGAGGCCCAATTACCCTTGTATCCTTGCCCCTATCTCCCCAATCCCTGAATCCTAAGAATCCTCAAATTCCTAATTCCCAAAAGGCTGATGACACACTTGTAACGCCTCTGGTGTTCCAGGTGTCCATGGGCAACGTATATTGCTTACCATCAGGTGATCGGTCTGCTCGTTTACCGTTTTATCCCATAAATGTAAAAAAATATATATTTTTTTAAGGGCGAATACGTTTCGAATATTTATAGTGATAGAGTCATGCTTCGCCACTGTTCGGCACAGTTCGACCGGAGTAATATCACGGCCTCACAGTAAACTGACGTATAATAACGCATGTGTTGGGTCTTTGCCATGTGAGTGAGGTTACCGGAGGCCCAATTCTACAGAACATTTATTAATAATCCTTTAAACTTGCAGTGTTTATACTTAATTATTAATAAAGGAGTCTGATTAAGGTCACAGGGAGTCGCTGGTTGCAGGGGACGTCCTATGGCTGATATGATGATGATGAAGATGAATAAAGGAGTTATTTGGTGTTTATTTAAGCATCTTGCTTTCAAAAAATCTAGTTCTATTGAATATTAAATATCTTAGCAACGAATTCTACTTAATCTTAACATTTGTCAAGCAAAAATAACTTCTATCCCTCAGAAAATAACACTGTACTTACCTGAATGTGGAGTGTAATGAGGATGGGCGGCGTGTTCGTAAGGTGTGTCGAATAACTCTCCGTAATAACCAGTGGCGCCACCTGCAGCTCCACCAAGCTCCGATAGTAACTTGTACTCGTCTTTGAGACTCCATTTTGAGGATGACCAGAGCTGAAAGGAAAGATGGGAGTTAGTTGTGATTGTGGATGGGTTTTTGAAGGTCGATAACATTAACACGTATCTTTGAAAACAATGGTGCATATTGTAACATGCACTTTTAACCAATTAGAGTTCCATGTCTCCAGTTCGCTTTAAGGTTTGAATATAATGCCTGTTTTCCCCGTAGGGGTAGGTAGAGGTGCACATTATGCATTTGATGTCACTGTACAATGTAACATCCACTTTTCACTATTTCTGTTATGAGTCCCATGTAATAGGGTTGAGCCTATTAAACTTTAGAATTGTATGTTTTTATAATAACTATCGTGAGATATACGTGAAAGCTATACTAGTTTCGAACCACAGAGGAGTTCTCCCGCATGAGCAGCGTGCGCGGTCGCGGCGATGTCGCGCAGCCCTCTGTGGTTCGAAACTAGTAGAGCTTTTCTCAGTATATTCACGTGAGTAACCCGCGATTTTTAGTTAATTCAGAATTGTATGTTTGAATCTGAATATTGTATCTATGTTGGGTAGTACCTATGGACCTTTGAATAAGTCATTAAATATTATTAGTAGGGTATTTATCTGATCTCTGGCATAATAGTCCCATTGTAATTGTTTCATTGAAAAATATATAAAAAACATTACTTTGAAAAGCCTGGGACGCATTCTTTTCTAGATTTTTTTTTTCAATAGGCCTACTTTTGACCACTATATCAATCATACAGACAGAACCACAGTATAGTTCTATATACAACAGAGTCAGATCTTCACTTCCTGTCCTAACAATGAAGCTACAAGGTTTCAGCAAAAAACACTGCGGTCTAGAGTCTAGACGTTATAAAAACTAACTTAACATCTTAAGTGATACAGATCAAATTCCTTAATCATATAGCCAGTAGATAGATAATGTTAATGATCCCTTTTTTACGCATAAATAAAAAAGGTACATAATTAATCGGTTTTATTTCGCTATGTTTAATTAACTATAATCATTCACAAATAAATAATGTCAATTAAACATAAATCGAAATGAACTTTCATCTTCATCTTTGTGTTTGATTGCCATTGCATTAATCATTATGCCTAGTGGCATTATTATGATAAACTATCTTAACCGGTAACTTCGCCTATGTTACTCCTTAGTACATTAGCTATCGGCTAATAAAATTCCCGTCAAAATCGGTCCAACTATTTTAAAGATTAGCCAATAGAAACAAACAGACAGATAGACAGACAGACAGACAAAAATTATAAAAAGTGTTATTTTGGTATATGTATCGAATGTATATTCATATGCATGTAGTAAAAAGCGGTTTTTTAATATTATAAACAGACACTCCAATTATTTATCTATATATAGATTTTATGTTAGAAACCGAGTATATTAAATTATTAAGTGACATAAGACTAACGAATAGAATATAAAAAGTAAGAATGCAAAATCCTCAGATAGGGGATAATAACCTCCCACTTAGTTCACCTCCCAAAGACGATCACAGATAGACATAGATTATCTCAAATTAACATTCCGGTAACATCACATTAAACGCAGGACGACCCGTACGTTCGGTGCGAATTGGCGCGTAAATTTCGGCGGCCATTGCGCTTCGTGACGAATGGCGGCGGTCGGGAGCTAATGACGTCACTTCCGCCCGCCATTACGTGCGTATAAAAGTACAATTAAATTGTGCGTGATTTTTTGATTGCGTATCGGTATTTCGTAGGTGTGGTGTGGAATGGAATGAGCGTGGTTTGGGTTAGCTTTATATCTGAAAAGATTTTTGTAAGATCAATGGTAGTAAAATGACACTGCAGTTAATCAGATTTGCAAACTATGTTATGTAGAGGGTACTAAGGCGTCGGCCTATTGGGCTATCTATCGTACGATTGAACGGTCAAACCCTGTGCTCGCGCGATGATTTGCAAGCTTCAATTAGGACACTCTAAAAATTGGGGTTAATCTCATCGTGTGTACGATGATAAGCTAAATAGGAGGACGATCTAATAGTCCAGCATTAGACTAGCACAGTTTATTAATGATGATGTTTATAAATCAATCTGCAATAAAGTCTACCTCGTTGGCCGAGTGGTCGTAAGTACAAAGGTCGGTCGGGCAAAGTAGGTACTTCAGGGTTTTTTAAAAAAACCTCAGTGGGTAGCACGAAGTCTGGAATTGTGTCGGGTATATGATAATAGGATCACCCATTATTACATGGGACTCTTAACATAAATAGTGAAAAGTGGGTATTACATTGTGCAGTGGCAGTAAGTACCGTAACGTGCACCTCTGCCTACCCCTTAGGGGCTGAAAGCCGTGATGTTATCTTATGTTATGGGAAGTAGCGCTATTTATTAATGATGATGTATTGATATACATCATTGATGATTCAATACATAGTATAAAACAAAGTCGCTTTCGCTGTATGTCCGTATGTATGCTTAGATCTTTAAAACTACGCAACGGATTTTGATGCGGTTTTTTTTAATAGATAGAGTGATTCTTAAGGAAGGTTTGTATGTATAATACATGCATATTGCACCCGTGCGAAGCCGGGGCGGGTCGCTAGTATACCATAAAATCTATAAGTTTACAGTAGTACCGTAATCATCTTTAAGATTTTTAGTCTTCTAGGTGTAGTGATTCTAGACAGTGTTAAGCAAAATTATTCTTTAAGTTGTGACTATAAGACTTACATTGGAGTATATTTGGTCGCCGTTGTAGTGACTTCTCTGTCTTTTCACGTCGTCCTCCGAATGACTGTTAAAGTCCCGGTTTTCGTCTGAAACAAGATATTTTTTTTAATTTTTAACGTGTTTTTACAGAATTTATAAACAAACACTTGATTGGAAGATAATAATATGTTCAAGTAAAACAAGTGAATTTATTTCTGCAAATAGGCTACAAGGCAGCACTTTTACACGTCAATTTTATCAAGCGAACGATGAGGCCGACATTTCCTAACTGACTACTCTGAGAAGAAATGCCGAAACAAACTCAGAGGTCTGTCTCTTTTAAAGTCTAGACAATATGTATAAAAGATTATGTGTGAGAACCGTGCAAGTTTTTTTTGTAGTGGCCTTTTGAGGAAAGGACCACAACAGTTCACAGATGTGACTATCGGGCGAACGATCCAGGATTTGATATCTGGCTAAGGTGTAAATGGGGCTTTTTCGTATTATATCTAAACCATAGAAACACAGATTTTCTTTCAAAAACACATACATAATTTCAGGTTTGTCTCCCATAGGGGTAGGCAGAGACTATGGAACGCCAATTGCAAAATTTACAGTGCAGTTTTTAAACGAAAATAAGTACTTCATTTTCAATTAAGTGTCTAACACCATAAAATAGAGCAAGCAACTAAAAAAGTTAATATTTTTTTCTAAAATTAATCTCTACAAGGACTCCTTTATCAAAACTGCGACTCTACAATTCGACTCTATGTAGAGTACATAGAGAAAGTTGTAACTGATGTTAGTAGAGTATGGGCAGTGAAATACTCGCGGCCTCCCCTGGCGACGCTCGTTTTATGCCCCCTAAAGTTAATAGGGAGGTGGAAATGTCGATAAAATAAGGATATTTTAATAAAAAAAATGGGATTTCAATTTTAAGTCTATTGTGATAGTAAAGAAGCGTGCATTTTTTTATTCCATTGAAATCAAATCGATCAATTGGTAACGTGGAACTATAATGGATTAGAATTTAAAGATTTTTATAAATATATTTTAGGTAAATACTTTTCTATAGAATAGGAGGCAAACGAGCAGACGGATCAGCTCATGGTAAGCGATCAGCGTCGCCCATGGACACCCGCAACACCAGAGGTGACATAGGTGCGTTGCTGGTCATTTAAAAGGAATGCACTCTTTTCTTGAAGGTTTGAAGGTCGTGTCGCCTCGAAAATACCGCCGGCGATAGATCATTAATGTTAATTTTCATTTTTAACATTGTGTGTATGAGAACGACTATTTTCGCAAAAAATTCACACAAAGACACGATAAATTATATTTATATATGTGTTTTTAACAGCACGTATCCCATCGATAAAAATATCGACACTTTCTTTTTACCGCTGCACATCACTAGAATCCTTTCAGCCGTAGTGGTGGGCATGAACCGCGACCGCTAAGATTTACTGTGCTATTAACTTTACTGCACAAATTGTGACCTTATTATTATAACTTCTATTAAATTTCGACTCTTGACTAACTCGACTTAAGATCACTTTTGCAAAGACGCAGTAATTTATAAGGACTGAAGTTTTATTAGCAGCAAAAGGATTAAGATCGTTTGCTGTGATTTATTTTTAAGTTGAAGTTTTAATTTTATTTTTTCAGAACGTTGCCCCACACTAGGTTTTTCACTTATATCGTTGGTGCGTTTACAAGCATACAAGTTCACATACCTACATACACATGACACCCAGACCCAAAACAACAATCTGTGGATCACACAAAGAGTTGTCCGTGCGGGAATCGAACCCGTGGCCTGTTGCAAATAGGCTTTAAATACTCAAAATATAATTTTACTATAGGTACGAAAATATCATATTATTTTCTAAAAGAAATTGAACTGCATTCACAGATTTTCAAAAAAATGCCTGTTTAAATCAGTAATCAAATGAACAATACGAGAAATGAACATCTTCTATCTTTATCATATCCAAGGGAAGATATGAAAAGGAATTATTTTTTGCTAAATAACACAGCATCATAAATGAATTTTCCAGCATACCTTGGTCTTCATGCCGTTTCCTCTTCAAACCAGTCGCGTTTCCATTGTGGAGACCCTCGACCTGTTCAATTCCCAGGATCCCGTTGATGCTGTAGCTCCCGGTGTTGGTGACGTGCTGGTCTGTGGTTGGAGACAGGACCGCTGTCGTGCCGGGCGCGTTGCCTGCGTGCGTTATCACCTGGGGAAGAGTAGGAGGAGTTATAAAAGGTGGTTATAGGGTTTTTAAAATGTGACTGGGGTGTATAAATCAGATACCCAGGTGTTATTGGTGATTTATCAGATTTAAAAAAAAAATGTGGTGGCTGGATTTGTGTTGGGTATATGACAATATAGATCTATAGGTTCTATTCTTACTGAGTATTTTGACAACTAAATATGTAGTATAGAAGACAAGGGGTATCAGGTTCGATACCCAGGTCGGGCAAAATATAACTGGGTTTTTTAAATCTCAATAATCACAGCGCACGAGGCGACTGTCGTGCTGCTCGTAGCATGGATTGAGGTCCTATCGTCACACAGTTATGTAAGTAAGGCGAAAACATAATAATTAATTTAGTATGTGCCAGGACAGTTCCAGGAAACCTCATGTTTATAATGTGTTGTCCTTTATAATATTGTCTGTGTGGTGTAGGTACATAAAATGATAAATAAATAATAATAATAAAGTTTTTATATAAATATACACATTGCCCAATTACCCTCCCCCCTTTCCCCAATCCCTGAATCCCCAACAATCCTCAAATTCCTAATCCCAAAAAGCCGGTAACGCACTTGTAACGCCTCTGGTGTTCCAGGTGTCCATGGGCGATGCCGATTGCTTACCATCAGGTGATCCGTCTGCTCGTTTACCGGGTTATGCCATAAAAAAAATGTAGTGTAAGGTGTATTTAAGTACAAAATAAATAAACAATAAGTACTTACAGATACTACGCTCCCCTGCGCTGAGCTGATCTCCTGTTCCTGTTGTTGCTGCTGCTGGTTGTGAGCCTGCTTCGCCTTCTCCGCCGCCTTGTTACGGACAATCCTGGTGACAAACAGACAAACTTATCATATTTCTTATCCTTAGAGAAATATTTTGCTCGATATATTTCATTGCGAATCGAAGTTGTTCAATGAAAACTGGATTAAATGTAAGATAAAGTTCATTATTTTTATAGTCTTTTAGATTATTAACTCGTAGAGTACCGGTTTTGTAGACACAATTATAGAACAATAGGTTGCAGTCACCGGTGACCGCTTGGTGTTTGACAGTTTAAATAACAATGGGAGTCTAAATTAATTATTATGTTTTTGGCGTAAGTGTTTGGTAAGAGCCTCTAGTATGGCTTGAAACTAGTCGAGTTCCTCGTCAAACATTTACGTAAGCCGAAAACGTAATAATTAATTTAGTATGTAGGTATCACGAAGGTTCCCACCTTGAAGGTGGGAGTCTAGGTTAGAACTCCCATATTAACCGATTATCAAGTTGCATAGTAAAAATACGCGATCTGTGTAGCATATTGTAAAATTACTGCCTCGTTGGCCGAGTGGTCGCAATTCCGACAGTCGGGCAAGGGGTCTCGGGTTCGATTCCCGGGTCGGGCAAAGTAATACTGGGTTTAGCATGGAGTCTGGAACTGTGCCCGGTATATGGCAATAGGCTCACCCCCTATTACATAGGACTTATAACATAAATAGTGAAAAGTGGGTGTTACATTGTACAGTGGTATAATGTGCACCTCTGCCTACCCCTTCGAGAATAAAAGGTACCTCAAATCTTACAAAATACAGAAACGCTTATATAAATTCATAGAGCCATGAATCATATCTATCACCAATTTTAATAATACATTGGATAACTTAACAATTTGCGAACGACGACTTTTTAGGGACAATGCGCTTCGGAAGCGCGACAAATCGCGGCGACTGCTGACTATATTGCAAAAGGATGTCGAGTCGCGTGCCGCATAATTCATTGCGGCTTGTGGCACGCCGCGGGAAAATGAACCCGGGACTTTTTAAGACTTTTCTAGAGGGGATCTCTTGTAATGGATTATTCATGTCATTTGCTCTAATTACAGATGATGATCTTATGGATTTTGGAGTAGGCAGAGCTCTAGCAAAAGGAGTTGTTATAAAGTAGCTTTCTTAGCAGCTTTTTTTTGTTTATTGAAACAAAGTTTCCTTTTCCTTGTATAAAAGCACTATTTTTATAAATTGTCAGTATGCATATGTGAGCACCATGTTAGACTATTTGTATGTTAGATTTTTTTATGTTTTTTTTTAGTAAGTTTTGTAATTAGTATAATGCGTCAAGCGTGTCTTTGCATTGTTCTTACATATGCGTACAGTATTGGAATATGTATCAGAGACATTGTAGAACATACTTTTTTAAAAAGAGTAACGAATGGAGTTTCTTGCTCGTTCTTATCCATTCGAATCTCCATTTTGGAATAAGCACCTAGCTTCACTGACGGATTGACTGACAGACTATTATTTATTTTGTATTTGTTGACGTTTCAAAAGTACCAAATATTGGTTTAATTTAAATCAATGCTTTGACTTTGTGTTTGAGTATTTTCGCTTATGCAGACAAATTGTGAAGTATTTTAATTTGTTTACACACATAATTATTCTGGTGTCGTTTCGACCAACTATTGAAGTGAATATTTTCTTTCCTTCTATGGTTATAAATTATATAATTAGACACTTAAACGTTTTAAACCACAGACTGCTGGTTACATATGAAATACAAAAAATACAATTGCTTGTCAATAATAAACAATTAAATTCAAAAACCAATAAATTATCAATTAATGATTGATTATTAATCAATTCTACAACACGTGACCACAATGCATTACATGCCGCGGGCTTCTAGCTATCGAAGCTGACGATGATGAATTTAACCAATTATAAATCAAAACCATAATTAATATCCTTAGATGGTAAAGTATCTAAGATGAAGGTTTTCAAAGAAAATATTTAACAAAATCTTTACATTTCTAATCAAAAACCTTCCTAAACCATGCCTACAGGAATGACTTCCATTTTATCTAGCCGCCATTTTGCCGCGCGCGACAGTTCATTCCACCATGATGGATTACGTGCTCCCGTGAATTATTGCCAGCCTCCTCGGGGTTGACATATGCAAAAATTGTTTAGTAAAAGTTATCAAAAAGGTGTTATTAGCTTCGTGTAATAGAGTCATCAGTTTTGGGGGATTTTAGTGATTGATGCCGTGTTTGTAGTGGTTTGACGCGTCATCGAAGTGATTTGTTTTCTTATTATGGAGTACATAGTTTGAATTAGTTGATACTTTGATGTAGTTTGTCTATTTTGGTGAGTTTATTAAGGTTTGATGTTCGTTTTAAAATAGATGTAAGATAAATTGGTTTTCAATCTCCTACCACAAACAGCCCTTTGTTATTATTAAACCTTATACTACATAGGTTGTCGCGGAGAACCTAACGGGTTACCGGGGCTCCGGCTCGACGTGCAGGAGAAGGAATAGGGTGGATTTTAGTCAGTAAGAGTCTGACACTCCCTCCCGCCTTACCCAGCTAGGAGCAGTCATTCGATGATTATCCCCCCTTAAAAAAATACTACATAGATTTCATTCAATAGCACATAAGCTAATGAGAGATTCTTTATTGGAATTTCTTCTAAAATTACAAGACAATAGAGTTAAAAATATAATGTTTAATATTTTAATTTACCTTGATGAGGAGCTGTTAAAAATCTGTAAAATGTTTGGCAGTTAAGCTGATGTATATATACCTATGTACAGTACATTTATTGAGTAATCAATTAAAATGTAAAAACTGACCATTAAACTAACCCAGGAAGCCCAGGAGGGGAACACCATTAACGTCCAAAATACCCACGTACCTACAAACATATAAAATTCGCGAAAAATGCAAAATGCTAACAATTGTGACCGCAAAAAGCGAGGTTATGATATCCGTTTCCGTTAGGAAGGGTTGCCAGTATAGCCATGTTTTACCCTTTAATAATTTTATTACCCTCATTTCATACGAGTGATACCAGTGGCGAATATTTTTGATTTATTTTCTCCTGCTTCCCGTAATTTGCTTTACATAATGTTGATTTACAGAATTAAGTGGATGGGTTTCCGGTTTTTCAGGTTTTGAGGTTTTTGTCTGGTAGTAACATTGTTGTTGCGGACGAGATGTGGACCCCAGTCTCTTATTTTGCGAATTAAAGTTTACATTTTGCATACCGACCTTAGGATTTGTATTCTAATGAGAATTATAAGAAATCACAATAGATGACTAGATTAAAAAATACTTTTGTTTTCTTTGTTATAGTAATTGTATTAAATGGATGCTCGTATTTTTTTTTAAAAAGATATTAAAAACTTTTGTATATTATCCTCCTCTTATAATGTAACTCGGTGTACCGAGCTCTCGCATGCGATCTGAACACGTTCCCGACAATGAACGGTAATGTTTTAGATACCTACACCATTTTTCAAAAATAAATACACTGCATTGTTTAGGTACTTAGTTTTCTTTTACCTTTTCTGAGTAGTCGTTATTTGTGAGTATTTGGTTATGATACTCAGACAGACAGAAAGTAAAGGTCCTTGCGAATGTTAAAAGATAATATTGTACCATAAATTAAAAACTAGTATCAAAACATCGCAAATAAGGTCTATAATGTAATTAGAGCAGAGCGGTTACCGGTGACCCCTTGGGAATTAGTGTCTTGAAAACAAAATTGTTCTTAATCTCAAAACTGTTATATCCTTTGCTGTTGCTAATAACAATTTATTATAGTCTTAATATTGATATTTATTCAGATTGTAAACACATCGTAATTCACACAAGTCTTATCTAATTTCACACTAAATACAATTTAAATAAACCTGGTTTCATTCACGCGTTTACACCCCTCAAATTATTCCAAACTCCTGCACAACTCAGTTTGCGCGGCAAAATAATCTAAATGTCAAACTGGGGTTGCCAGAGTTATAGCTTCAATTACCCGCCCGTCCCTCGATTAAAATGTCTTAGTGTTGCCCAGTAAGCTGTTTTATTTTTCATTTTTATTTTACGTACATTTTTTATTTCTCAAAGGGAGATTTTTGCTGAGTTTTGTGTTTTGTTATGGGAGTGGGTATAGGGAATTTATTTATTATATTTTTTGTTTGACATTATTAATTAAGCTTCTTCTTATAATAAAGAAAAAATATTTGATTATTTGTTAAATTATGAGAAAGCTTATTTCTCGGGTAATAGGTTTAGGTTAGGGTATTTTTATCCCGATAATCATAAACAATTTAATTACAAAACCGTTAACTAAGAAGTATAAGTAAGTAAATTTGACTATGTGGAAGTCATTGGAGGAGGCCTATGTTCAGCAGTGGACGTCCTGTGGCTAACATGATGACGATGATGACTAAGAAGATATTATTATGTTTTTTGTAAATACCCATTTCCTTTTAACCGTATCCTCTAAGATAGTAGACTGACAGTGATGATCTGATGACCTTCAACACACAAATATGATATCAGAAAATCTAAACAATATCACCCTAAATTACTCCTAAACAGTCTCCCGAAATTCTCACTTCCACTCAAATAGGCACGATTGGGTCACATGCGGTTCGTCCCGAGTTCCGTCACTACAACATTACGGTCACGTGTCGTGTTCGTCCCGTCCTCGTGTCGGGCTCGTGCCGGTCGCGTGTCGGGGGTGCCAATCACCCTCGTATTGAGACGGGATGGCTTTAAAATTGACTCTGTTTTGGTATTTTTCACTTTTGATTACATTTTTTATCGGATTACTGTGTATTGTAATTATGAGTTATTTTGTAGTGTTTTTTATTATAGTGGTGACATAAACTTACTTTGATAAGATAATAGCAAGAGGCTAAAGGTAGTTTATTTACGTTCTTGATGTGATCTGTTCTTAAGTAGTAAATATCTTCTGTTCACGATACATATCTAATATTAATAACGTAGGACCACTTACAGAATCAGATATTTAACTAGAATTGAATTTATGTTTGTGTAAGATTTCGTTTTGTTGAATTTTGTATTCTATTACATGCTTAAATAGTTTTATTTTACACAAACTACACCAAAATGATACTACGACTCAAGGAACTACGAACACACACACACACACATCAACAGCCTATATTGCCCACTGCTGAGCAAAGCGTTAATCACCACTCTTGCTCAATGTGGGTTGGAGATTTCAAATTTACAATTGGAAATTATAAGCCTAGGTTTCCTCACGATGTTTTCCTTCACCGTTGGTCAGTGAAACCTCCGGGCCACCACGACATTGAACTTCGAACGTAGCCTTTAAACTGTCAAACACCAAGCGGTCACCGGTGACCGCAACCTATTGCTCTATAATTGTGTCTATAATGACGGTACTCGACGAGTTAAACTAAAAATAACATGCCTATAATCATTACTGTAAATTCGCAAACCTTAACGTATTTCAAACTAGTTAAAATTAATACGATTTACTTTCACCCCTCTGAATTTTATTGATACCCAATAACTCGGGCTTATTGTCCAATAATGGACCCCATGCACCCCACTAGGCAGCACTTAAAGTGCATTTTGATAGACCAGAGAGAAAGGGGTCATTATTAAGATTTGTAACAAATGAAGGGTGTAAAGTTATATCGTTTTGATCTCGTGTTGATATTATTTTCGATTATTATAACAAAATGTTGGAAATTCTGTGTGAGAATGAAAATGAGATTTTTTAATTGCTATATCTGAGAGTATTTTAATGTTTTATGGTTAATCTAGAAATAAAATTAAGGAAGATTGATGATAAGTTATTTCATAAATTACTTTTTTATGAGACAAGGGGTAGATGAGCATACAGATCATCATTTCGGCTTAACAACGTTTATAGTATATCAATGTGGCTAAGCTGAGAATTTGTTATTACATCTACCACTAATAACATTGAAAAACTATAATGTGCAAACGACGTAAATAAAAATAATTACAGTATTTTCTAAAATATATTCATGCTAATGACACACCGTATTTAACAAAAATATTATACAAAATTAAGCTTATTTTCAGCCACGAACACCAACATTATCATTAGAAATGAGATATTAAAAGATTACATCCGGGTGACACTTGAACTCAAGTGTTGCCAGCTTAAATCCGCAGCTAATTGCGTGTTGCCAGATAAGATAAAACTACCCAGATTATGGGGAGTATTTTTTCATTATTTTATCAATTCTCTGTTATTAGCATGTTTAGTGTTAGCGTGATGTAATCTGTTTATATAATCTGAATTGCTACCGTTTATTAATTTAGGGGAGTTTATCTTTATTTGTTTATTTGTTCAAAGGGGAAATTGTTTGTTATGCTTTATTAGATGTTAGATTGTGACACCTTGTTGTCATGTTATTTATTGTTTGGCTTCTTGTTTGTTTGTGTGTGTGTGCGTGTGTGTGTGAGATTGTGTCATTGGTTGAGTGGTTTTAAGTAAACTAAGTTACAGATGAATCGAACACGCGGTTTTTAAAATTGATGTTAACCTTCATACCATCTGAGACGATGTCGTCATGGTTTTAAAGACTTCTTGTAGGGAACCTGTGGGGTGTCATAGCCAAATTTTTTAAATATATTAATTTAATTTTCGACACTTCATGAATAATAGTGCAGAAGGGGGACGTAATGCCACGGGCATTATTTACTAGTATGACCTTATTATGTATTAAGTATTTTAGTAAATGAAATGAGATAGAATAAATCAAGTCATCCTATAAATTGGATGAAAGATTGATGAAATATAAAGTACACATATTTATTACTTTTCACCAATTCTCAGCCATAACACTAATCGAATACTCTTGTACAGGAAACAGTATCAAAATCGATCATAACTAAAACTCTTCACAAAGTAGAGATGCGTCTCTATCTCTACTATAGAGTCATTCAGCATCTCTACATTTATATGAGAATAATAATTCAATGGAAGCAAGGACATCCGGTGCACGAAGCACGTGTCTCTACTTCCGGCAGCGCCATCTTTGCGCCCCCATCCTTGTCATTTCCGGTTCTGATCACGCAACCCCTTGATGGGCCATGAAGGCTGCGATTTGAGAGAAGTAGAGCGAATTTTGATTACAGCAATCTCTGTGAATATTGGAGATTTTTTTCGCTGTTGTAATGGATATTAAACTTTTGTAACGCGGGTTTTAAAAATAAATACAACCTAGTCTATGATTAGTCTATGGTTTTATTATCTGTGGTGGCAACGTAACGCAGGACGGTAATAGGCAGCGCTCACGACCACCCCTTCCCACCACCCGCTACCCCACGCGCCAGCGCAGGGGGTACGAGTGGAGAAAGAGAGATAGTCCCGACCACTGACGCGTACGGACGTGTTGTAAAATCCACCGCGGCTCTAAGTCGCGACGCCATCTTTTTTTCTCTCTAGAACCTTCTTGTATTATTAAAGTCTGTATGTATATGTGTTTTTTTTTTAAGGGGGGAAAATCATCGAATTACTGCTCCCGCCTGGGTGAGGCGGGAGGGAGTGTCAGACTCTTAGTGACTAAAAACCACCCCGTTCCTTCTCCTGCACGTCGAGTCGGAGCCCCGGTTACCCGTTGGGTTCTCCGCGATTCCGAATCGGCATCGGCCCTATTGGGATGTATATGTGTATTATGTATCAATCAGTGTATTTTAATGAGCAATAAATGTTTACCCATGACTTTTGCCGATTAAACTTTTAAAACACTAATACTACAAATTATTAAATATTTTTTGCATTAAAATGGTGGCTGCATGGCTGGCTGCTGCAGTGTGTCATGGGTTGCCAAATCGCACGGATAACTTTTTTGTGTGATTAATAGATTTTGGTATGATTTACACTGACGGACTGACTGACAGACTATTATTTATTTTGTATTTGTTAACGTTTCAAAAGTATAACTTTGGTCTGGGTCTAGGTATGATGAATTTTATATGTTTAAAACGCGATTATAAAGTAATACAATAAAATTTGATTATAAATTACCTTCTACTGTCAAACACCAAGCTGTCACCGGTGACCGCAACCTATTGTTCTATAATTGTGTCTATAATGACGGTACTCGATGAGTTAAAACCTTTTTTCAAATAGACGTTTCCTAGATTCTGTGACACTGAGACACAATGATAAAATCTAACAATAACTTTTTATCTCAAAATAAATCTTTAGTTGTCACCTTTTTTTAAAATATTATTTTGGCATCTATGTATAGTGGTGATAATTTTGGACCCACCTACCAACTGCCCGGCTAGCTCAGTCGGTAGAGCATGAGACTCTTAATCTCAGGGTCGTGGGTTCGAGCCCCACGTTGGGCGCAACTTTTTGTAAAAAACAATATTTTTATATAATTATTTTTTGTTTTTAAAACGAGACTTTTAAACCTGTGATTATACCATTGCCATTTTTTTTTAATTTTGTTATTTTTTTTTTATCATTAAACATTCATTTCATGGCCCCACTGTACCAATTCTCCGTGATTGAACATTACAACCCTGAAATACACCTTAATGTTTACCACATAACGTTTAAATTACAATGTAAGGCCAACTTTCCTGAAAGTAGGTAAAAAGGTATATTTTATAGGTAACATGAGAACATTGTTATTTTCACTATGTGTGTAGTAAATAGGAAATATATAGTAACTATTGTTTTCGTTGTTTAACTATAAGTTCAGTATGTTTTGGAACGATCCGTAAGTTTCTACCGACAAAACTATTTATTTAAATGTAAAGAAGTACTACGAAGTACGTCTATATATCTTCAATACATAGTATAAAACAAAGTCGCTTTCGCTGTATGTCCGTATGTATGCTTAGATCTTTAAAACTACGCAACGGATTTTAATGCGGTTTTTTTTAATAGATAGAGTGATTCTTAAGGAAGGTTTGTATGTATATACATATTGCACCCGTGCGAAGCCGGGGCGGGTCGCTAGTTATATATATAATTCTTCTGTGAGTGTGTATGCCACTGAACTTGTCTCAAATGTCTGGACCGATTTTGCTAAATTTTTTTGTGTGTGTTCAAGGGGATCTGGGAATGGTTTAAATTCACAAATCAGCCCGGCAGATGGCGTCGCAGTCAAGGTTTAGGGTATTTATCCTAAACGGCTGAACTAATTTGAATAAATTTTTGTTTATACATTCAAGTGGATATGCAGGACAACGTCTGTTGGGTCCGCTAGTGTATATATAAAAATTAAACATGTTTCCGTTGTCACGCCATAACTTGAGAACGGCTAGACCGATTTGGCTGATAATTTTTTGTTGCGTTTTTACGTAGCGTAAAAATCCTGAAAATCGGGGAACGGGAGAAAACGAGACTGCGCGGACGAAGTCACAGGCAGAAGCTAGTATATTAGGTATATCGTTGGAAATGTAAAGCTTGGCTTCATCCACAGGTTGTCTGTAAGAAATCGCATTCTCCGATAAGACCGACCATCGTACACCTTTTTTTTCTCTATATGTTTTTATGATGTACAATAAACATAACATGACATCACGCCTTTTATCCTCGAAGGGGTATGCAGAGGTGCACATTACGGCACTTAATACCACTGTACAATGTAACACCCACTTTTCACTATTTATGTTATGTGTGCCACGTAATATGGGGTGAGCGTATTGCCATATACCAGGCACATTTCCAGACTCCGTGGTAATACTGAATTTTTTTGAAAAATTCAGTAATACTTTACCCGACTCGGGAATCGAACCCGAGACCCCCTGCCCGGCAGTCACACTTGCGACCTCTTGGCCAACGAGGCAGTCAGATCAGATCATCAGCTAATTATACCCAAATTAACTCGTCGAGTACCGGTTTTGTAGACACAATTATAGAACAATAGGTTGCGGTCACCGGTGACCGCTTGGTGTTTGACAGTTTAAAACAAAAGACTAACCTGTTTATACTGGACACAGAAGGCACATTATCCTGGCTGCAGATCCCCTCACTGAGGAGTCTATCCCTGATCTCCCAGGCGAACATCGTAGGGTTCTCTCTCTTGTATGCTGCGATGGCGTCCACTACTGGAGGCGTGGCCACCTTGGGCTTGGAGCCGCCAATCACGCCAGCTTTGAAACTTCCAGTCTCATAGTACCTGGGGATACAAAATAGGTTTAATCAGAATTTTGGATGGTTTAAAAGTCAGCTTATAACAAATATCCACTGCTGAGCAAAGAGCTCTTCTCTTATAAAGAAGGTATGATTTTTTTGTGTTTTTTTAAAGCGTTGCCCCACACTTAGAATTTCCTTTGTGTCGTTGGTGCATTTACAAACATACTATTTCACAAACATTTGACACCCAGACCAGAAACAACAATTTGTGAATCACACAAAGAGTTGCTCCTTGCGGTAATCGAACCCGCGACACATTGTGTGGCAGCCAGTTGCCCCTGCAGCAACCCACACCAACCGTGCCGTCAACCAAATTATTAATCACCACATTTGCTCAATTCCAAATACAAAGGTACGGCATTTAAAACTTTGTTATTGTAGTCTTCGTTCCGTAATGTGACAAGATGGACAACCGAAGAAAGATCAAGCATGGAAGACTTGAACTGTTCTCCACAGCAAATTATTATATCCTCTCGCGCGTTTCTCGTACACACGGATAAATATTTTAATAGAAAGCGAATGAACTATTCTGCTCAATCAAATAGAGAACGGGTTGCAACTTGAAAATATACGTCACAGAAAAAATATGTAATCGGTGCGCGTTTCCCTTACACCCGTGTGTACAATTGCGCGATGGGCACTCAACTCTCTCGTACACCCGTCTGTACGAGAAATACGAGAGAGGATATAGACCAAAAATTAAGAAGCTACTGACATACACAGTAATTCAGGTTCAATGTACTGTTTTAACTCGAGCAATGAGCATCAATAAGATATGATTATAATTTATTACAGAATAAATTACAACATAGACTTCGATACTTTCATGTGTACAATATTGGAATATGTATCAGGTGTAAAACATACTTTTTTAAAAGAGTAACGAATGGAGTTTCTTGCTCGTTCTTCTCCATTCGAATCGACATTTTGGAACGAGCGCCTAGCTTCACTGACGGACAGACTGACAGACTATTATTTATTTCATATTTGTTGACGTTTCAAAAGTACCAAATTATGATTTAGAGGTAATTGAAATAAATGCTTTTGAGTTTGAACCAAAAACCAGCACTTTAAGAACCAACCCCTGCCAATAATGTCATTAAAAACAGCAACCATAACTGCATATCAGTAAAAAATTCAATCAAAATTCGCTGTCAAAGAGCTTTTCACCCCTCATAGTACTTGTATCCAATTGTCATAATACCGTCCTTTATTTTGTTGAGCGAATTTAATTATCTTCAGCTAATGCCAGGTCCCTAAGGAAAGGGGCGTGATGGTACAATGATGAAGGGATACTTATTATTGTTTGGTATATCGGCGGCAATATGGTGGGATTGTTTGGTCCTTTTGGCGCCAGAATTGGTCCTAACTTGGTCCTTTCGGGATTTGGGTTTTATTCTACGTTTTTGTTTAGAATTGTGGATGCAAGTTGGAATTGGTGTGATTTTATTTGTAGTGAACAGGTTAATAATTCTTTATTAGATATGTTGGTCCAGAACATGGATACGAACATGGAAGATATGGACATGGAAGACTTATCATTCGTTTTTTGAGTCAACATTATATTATGCCTGCCTCGTTGGCCGAGTGGTCGCAAAAGTGACTGCCGGGCAAGGGGTTTCAGGTTCGATATTCAAATCGGGCAAAGAAAATTATCAGTAGTAGCACGGAATCTGGAAATGTGACCGGTATATAACAATAGGCTTACCCCTATTCCGAGGATAAAAGGCGTGATGTTATGTTATTATAAATATTATGTTATTTAAAGTCAATGTCAATCAATGCATCGTAACGTTAAAATTAAACAATTCTCCGTCAATCTGTAAGTTAGTGAAGCTAGGTGCTTATATTCGAATTTCGAAGCAAAGTTTTCTTTCGCCATTGATAAAAAATGTTATAACCACTTATCAGACGTAAATGGAAAATCAAATTACAAAATACACAGTGACACTAAACCAAAAATTACCATAATCTTACTTGTGTAAGATTCCATTTCCTTATCTTTTAGGGAATCTACAAGAGACAAGATTAGGATTACTTAAAAAATAAGATTATCAGCACCGCACTTAAGCTATTTATTGTAAGGGTGCTTTCACATTGTGGAGCATTACAATTCTCGTGATAAGTCAATTACGAGTGTGATCACACCCTAAGTGAATGGTACTTGCAAGTACTGTTGGAAAGAAAAGTGAATAAAGAGAATTTGAGATTTTTATTGGTTGGTTTGTTGTGACTACACTATCTATTTTTTTGGACGAAAAGACCAAGATTATGACAGCTACTTCTACGCATTATAGATATTTTTAATTAATTTTATTGATCGGGGATCGCTTTATTATTCGACTCTTTCGCTCATAAGATTGTACCACGAAATTCAATTGTAAGTGTTACAAATATGGAATTTATTCAAGTATCTTTAGAGCAATTATTATTTCATTTAAAAAAGAACGATGGCAAACAGCGATTCTTATTTTGAGATCTTTTACGGTAAACGGGCGGACTGGATGGCTCACCTGATGGTAAGCAATCGCCGTCGCCCATTGACACTCGGAACACCAGAGGCGTTATAAGTGCGTAACCAGCATTTGAGAATTTGGATTCAGATTGGGGAAGGGGATAAATTGGGCCTCCGATAACATCATTCACAAGACAAAACACAACGCAAGCGTTACTTCACGTCGGTTTTATGTGAGGCCGTGGTATCTCTTTGGTTGAGCCAGCCCGTTCGTGCCGAAGCTTAGCTTATCGGCTCTCACATACTTAGGTGATTCTGTAATCTTTTGCATATTACTATAATTATGCTATACCTACATTGCATTTTTATTCAATGAGTTGCAAACCACAATCTTACTTAGTCCATTTTTAACATCAATCAAACAACGATATTTCTTTTTAACCATACCTACTACAATTATTTTTTTTAATCATCAAATCCGTGTTCAATTTTAATCAAAACACTTATGCTTGTGACTGTCCTAGGGTTGCCAAAAACAAGGGTGCTAGTGATCCATGGGGGGTCGGTAACATTATCGTAATGCCACCCCTGGGTTAGGGCTGGCAGTGTTGTAGGTAAATTTGACGAAAATAAAACTATACTTAGGAGATTGTGCACTTGGTTTTTATGGGGTGCTTTGTAGGTATGTAGGAAAGGGGTAATGGGTTTGATACCTGTTTCGGTTAAATATGTTAAAGTTTTTTAAGGATTCCATATCAAGTTTTACTAGTAGGTAGTATTAGATAATGGTCTATGATAAGCGAAATTAACTTTGGTTACTTATGTATGTATCTTTTTGTTTTAAGTAAAAAAAAAACTATACACATTTGAAATCCAGTAAAATCTACTGACAATATATTTTATCTTTATTACTATGAAAAACCGAATTTTTAAACCAACTCTTGATCTTGTTAAGCTATGATTTCAATAAACATATACAACAATACTAACAATAACAATCACAGAAAAAATCCTCATTCAAAATCGAAAAGAAAAAAACACACTACGAACCTACATTTCTGCTCACCCACTCCACACACAACACCATTAGAAACAAATTGAAATCAATATCGTTCGCAATAACCAATTTGTAGCTCACAACGTAGAGACATATTGGCAATCAAGATACTAGGATAGGGTACACCCTAATAGGCTCACACTGACTTATCAAGGCTTATGGTGGCTTATAGGCGCTTATACACGCTTATAGGCGCTTATACACGCTTATAATGCGCTCAATAGATGCGCCCTTAAGCGTGTTATATCATTATCTGATCTGTAAATAATTGCAGATCAAATTTGCGGCTTATCGGCTTTGTTTTAAGTGATATTTTTGTATGTTATCTTTTGATACGATTTTATTATGATTGAAGAGATGTTTTGTTATTGATTTTTCGGTGGTATTGTGGTTGAAGGTTGTGTTTGTTTGAGATTTAGAAATCTCGTACTTGTTTTCTTTGAACGATAGATGAATTTCGCTTAGCATAGTCTAAACCACAGAACATATAAAGAAGCTAAACATTTTTGCTTCCAGAATGTTTCAATTGGTAGTTCAGTTTGTTTAAAATCTCTTAAAACTATAACTTTAATGTTAATTAAAGTAGAAATTAAATGTATTTCTTTCGCAATCTCATTTTAACTCGTATACAATCACCTGATATGAATCCCCAAAATTTGTTCAAACAAAAGAAGTCTTTAAACATCGGAAATAAGGTTTATAATGGAGTTAGTGAAGAGCGATCGCCAGTGACCAGTTGGGGATTGACCAGTTAATACCAAAACTGTTATTTATGAAATTCAGTAGAGATATAGATATATAGAAACTACAGATGAAAGGGATATTGAAGGGGCTACTTACATGCTTAAACTGTCAAACGCCGCGAGGATACTGGTGACTGCAACCTATTGTTCTTTAATTGTGTCTATAAGGACGGTACTCAAAGGGTGAAACCACTGACTAGTATTAAGTTAAAGGAGATTCGTGGTATCCCAAAGTCACGATTCACACAACAATTATGCGTCTCTATTTATCCCTTCGGAGAACAGAAGACATGTTATGTTTTACACATGTCTGCTGACCCCTTTTAAAACTAGAGCTGCACACAAGAAGAGAATTATGAAAGTGCTGTACAGTCCTGTATCTGTTTAATAATTAGTCAGTTTTTACATCGGCCTGCGCCGGCGCAGAAAGCGTGACGCCGCTTCCGTTTGTGAGCGTGCGTTGATTTATTTTATGAAATAATTGTGATTATGTTTGTTTTTAGTTTTAGGTCACTTTGTGTTGGATTTTCTTGCTAAAGATAATTATGTAGAATTCATCAAAGATTCTATCATTCAATATTGAAGTTTATAAAAAAGTGTCTAGAGTTCAATGTTCTTTAAAAAAGTATTTTTTTATCTGTGACGTAATCAATTATATTTTGAAACATATTTACATACTATGAAGTCTCTGGTAATTGCTAAATAAAATGTGTTTGTAGATGAATATG